AACTATTTGGAAGCTATTTAGCAGCTATTTAGCACCTATCTAGTAATTATTCAGCAACTATTTGGAAGCTATGTAGCAGCTAGCTAGCAGCTATTTAGAAGCTATTCAGCAACTATTTGGAAGCTATTTAGCAGCTAGCTAGCAGCTATTTAGAAGCTATTCAGCAACTATTTGGAAGCTATTTAGCAGCTAGCTAGCAGCTATTTAGAAGCTATTCAGCAACTATGTGAAAGCTATTTAGCAGCTAGCTAGCAGCTATTTAGAAGCTATTCAACAACTATGCGAAAGCTATTTAGCAGCTAGCTAGCAGCTATTTAGAAACTATTCAGCAACTATTTGGAAGCTATTTAGCAGCTAGCTAGCAGCTATTTAGAAGCTATTCAGCAACTATTTGGAAGCTATTTAGCAGCTATTTAGCACGTTTTTGCACCTATTTAGTAGTTATTCAGCAACTATTTAGAAGCTATTTAGCAGCTAGCTAGCAGCTATTTAGAAGCTATTCAGCAACTATTTGGACACTATTTAGCAGCTAGCTAGCAGCTATTTAGAAGCTATTCAGCAACTATTTGGAAGCTATTTTGCAGCTAGCTAGCAGCTACTTAGAAGCTATTCAGCAACTATTTGGAAGCTATTTAGCAGCTAGCTAGCAGCTATTTAGAAACTATTCAGCAACTATTTGGAAGCTATTTAGCACCTATTTAGTAGTTATTCAGCAACTATTTGGAAGCTATTTAGCAGCTAGCTATATTTAGAAGCTATTCAGCAACTATGTGAAAGCTATTTAGCAGCTAGCTAGCATCTATTTAGAAGCTATTCAGCAACTATGTGAAAGCTATTTAGCAGCTAGCTAGCAGCTATTTAGAAGCTATTCCGCAACTATGTGAAAGCTATTTAGCAGCTAGCTAGCAGCTATTTAGAAGCTATTCAGCAACTATGTGAAAGCTATTTAGCAGCTAGCTAGCAGCTATTTAGAAGCTATTCAGCAACTATTTGGAAGCTATTTAGCAGCTAGCTAGCAGCTATTTAGAAGCTATTCAGCAACTACTTGGAAGCTATTTAGCACCTATTTAGTAGTTATTCAGCAACTATTTGGAAGCTATTTAGCAGCTAGCTAGCAGCTATTTAGAAGCTATTCAGCAACTATTTGGAAGCTATTTAGCAGCTATTTAGCACCTTTTTAGTAGTTATTCAGCAACTATTTAGAAGCTATTTAGCAGCTAGCTAGCAGCTATTTAGAAGCTATTCAGCAACTATTCGGAAACTATTTAGCAGCTAGCTAGCAGCTATTTAGAAGCTATTCAGCAACTATTTGTACACTATTTAGCAGCTAGCTAGCAGCTATTTAGAAGCTTTTCAGCAACTATTTGGAAGCTATTTAGCAGCTAGCTAGCAGCTATTTAGGAGCTATTCAGCAACTATTTGGAAGCTATTTAGCAGCTAGCTAGCAGCTATTTAGAAGCTATTCAGCAACTATTTGGAAGCTATTTAGCAGCTATTTAGAAGCTATTCAGCAACTATTTGGAAGCTATTTTGCAGCTAGCTAGCAGCTATTTAGAAGCTATTCAGCAACTATTTGGACACTATTTAGCAGCTAGCTAGCAGCTATTTAGAAGCTATTCAGCAACTATTTGGAAGCTATTTTGCAGCTAGCTAGCAGCTACTTAGAAGCTATTCAGCAACTATTTGGAAGCTATTTAGCAGCTAGCTAGCAGCTATTTAGAAACTATTCAGCAACTATTTGGAAGCTATTTAGCACCTATTTAGTAGTTATTCAGCAACTATTTGGAAGCTATTTAGCAGCCAGCTAGCAGCTATTTAGAAGCTATTCAGCAACTATTTGGAAGCTATTTAGCAGCTATTTAGCAGCTAGCTAGCAGCTATTTAGAAGCTATTCAGCAACTATTTGGAAGCTATTTAGCAGCTAGCTAGCGGCTATTTAGAAGCTATTCTGCAAGTAAAGGAATTTAAATGAATTTAAATGGGTTTTAAAGGAATTCAAAGAATTTAAATGACGTTTAAAGGAATTTTAAGGGAATTTCAAGGAATTGGAAGGAATGGGAAGTCCCATGTCATGGGGTAAATTTGTTTTTTTTCAGAATTTAGAGGAATTTTAAAGTATTTTTTTAAATAAGGAGTTGGAATGATTTTAAAAGAATTTGAAGGAATTTAAAGAATTTTTTAAAGCAAAATAGGGAATTGGAAGTCCCATGTCATGTGGTAAATTCGTCTTTTAATTTTAAGGAATTTAAAGGAATTTAAAGGAATTTAGTGGTTTTTGGTTATTTGATTTCTATATTCAAATTGTTACAAAACATTGCAGTTAGAATATGTTTTAACAGTCCTGTAGCAAACAATCAACCTTTATATATAATAATACTGGCATTTTAACGGAATTTGAAGGAATTTAAATAAATTTAAAGGAATTTGAAAGGAATTTAAAGGAATTTAAAGGAATTTAAAGGAATTTCGAAGGAATTTAAAGGAATTCAAAGGAATTTAAAGGAATTCAAAGGAATTTAAATGACTTTTAAAGGAATTGAAAGGAATTGGAAGTCCCATGTCATGTGGTAAATTCGTCTTTTAAGGAATTTAAATGACTTTTAAAGGAATTGAAAGGAATTGGAAGTCCCATGTCATGTGGTAAATTCGTCTTTTAAGGAATTTAAATGAATTTAAAGGTACTAAAAAAATAAGGAATTTGACGTCCCATGTCATGTGGTGAATTATTTTTTTAAAGGAATTTTAAGGACTTTAAATAATTTTAAGGAATTTAAAGGAATTTAAAGGAATTTTGGTGGTTTTTGGCTATTTGACTTCTATATTCAAATTGTTTCAAAACATTGCAGTTAGAATTTTTTTAACAGTCCTGTAGCAAACAATCAACCTTTATATATAATATTGTTGGCACGCCAGCATTGTTGGCTACCAACTAGCTATTAATATAAATGTGCCAGCATTGTTGGCTACCAAATATCGATTTATATATATATATTATATATATAAACCATTCTTGATTCCAATTGGATATCTTGCTGGTGATAAAATATGAACCCAACCAGCACAATTGTAACAAACCACAAGTATTTCACAAAATCATTGCACTTAGAATATTCCTGCATGTAGTATGGTTGTATGTGTATACGTGCTCTAAATACCTACGTTAAGAATAGCACAATGTTTGCATATAGAATTAGAAATATAATATATGTATATATGAATGTATCATATGCATCGCGTGCAGACTCCATGACTGGAAAGATGGTGGATGTGTCGTTGAGGCTGAAAGGTTGCGTAGATAGGAATAGATCTGTATTTGCTGTAGATATCATCCACAAAATGAAATGTTTCATAGCCAAACAATTCCAAATCAATCAAACAAATATAGATGTTTTACACAGGCCATGCACTTAGAATATTATGGAGTCTCAAGCCAGGGGTTGCTTTGCGAAACAAATTGGAGGTGTTTCACAAATTTGATGCACTTAGAATATTCTCAAGATGATTTTACATTTAAAATCATATATGTTTTGAATATTCTATCTGCGAATCCAGGCTTGCACTTATAATATCCTCAGCAGGGAGCCCGCAGCTAATTTTTTTGGCTGGAAGTTGATCGACTTAATATTCTAAGTGCGGGTCATCTAGTATATATGTAAATAATTTATATGTATGCATATCACATATATATATATATGTCACTACCAGTAGTACCGCGCAAGGCGGTGGCGGAAGTTTCAAAAATAGTAAACCTATAGGAGAGATTGGTTATTGTGAATCACGGATGGCAGAGCGAATCCACTGATGGACCGACAGGTGGTTGGAGCTGTGCTTTTTGGTGTGGCTGCAATGGTTGCAGTGGTCACCTGGTCGGTCACCTCACCCACAACTGCTGGATGTATGCAGCTGTAGTTGTAGTTGTAGTGTAGTGGAGTTGTAGTTGTGGTGTAGTGTAATTAGTGTAGTGTAGTTGCAGTTGCATTTGTGGTGGTGTAATGAGTGTAGTGTGATGTAATGTAACTTAATGCAATGTGGGGTAGGGTAGTGTAGTGTAGTGTAATTGAGTGTAGTGTGGTGTAGTGTGGTGTGGTGTAGTGTGGTGTAGTGTAGCGCGGTGTAATGGTGTAATGTAATTCAATTAGTGTCGTGTAGTGTAGCGTAGTGTAGTGTAGTGTGTTGTGTAGTGTAGTGTAGTGTAGTGGAGTGTATTGGAGTGTAGTGTAGTGTAGTGTGGTGTAATGCAATTAGTGTAGTGTAGTTGTAGTTGTAGTTGGAAAAAACACAGTATTTCGCGACTTTCTTACCTTTTCGCGCACCTGCATCTTCTTTCTTCTGACTCTTTCTCTTCTCTGATCTTCTCTCTTCGCTCTTCTCTCTTCTGCTCTTCTCTCTTCTACTCTTCTCTTCTCTCTGACTCTTCCCATCTCTGCTTTTCATCTGTCCATATTGTCGGAAGTTTGGCTTCTAAACTTCCTTCGACTATATCACTGCTGGCTATTCATATGCGAATGTAGATATACATATTTGTTGATTCATGTATATATATATACAGTACACATATATATATATGTATATAATTATATATATATATACACGTATGTACAAGTGAACATGACAACTGATCACAACCGAAATTGGACTGCATATGCATCGGCATGATTATCTTTCTAGTTGAAAGCCATGGTTCTGGCCAAACAGAACATATTCAGCTGAGTCTAAAGGCAAGCAACGTGATAAAAACCTTCAGCAATAGAAACATTCAACACACACATGAGAAGTGGGGATGGGTCAAATCATTTCAAAACATATGCCATGGACATGAAAATGTTTTTATATATAATAGATGTCAAAATATAGATCCATCATATCTATGTATCTATTATTTATCTATATCCATCATATCTATGCTATCAAAATATATGATGATGTTCAATCCCAAAAGCTTCCAATGTCACGGGGTTTTCGCTGATGTTCAGCATGATTTCCCCCACCCAGTCAACCCATCCTGGGACTTCGCGGACTTGTGAGCACCGCTGCGGGTCCAGACCTAAACCCCAAGTAGGGTATCATAGGGTTACCAAGATTGCGGTAAACTAATCATAGCCAAGACAGGAATAGATAGAAAGAACGATAAATAGATAGATAGATAAATAGATGGATAGATTGAATAGATAGAAGAGAACAGAATCGAATCGAATAGAATAGAAAAGAATTGTAGATAGATAGATCAATAGATGAACAGATAGATAAATAGATGGATAGATAAATATAGATAGATATAGATAGATATAAATAGATATAGATAGATATAGATAGATTTAGATAGATAGATATAGATAGATGTAGATAGATATAGATGGATATAGATAGATATAGATAGATAGAGATAGATATAGATAGATTTAGAAAAATATAAATAGATAGATAAAGATAGATATAGAAAGATATAGATAGATGTAGATATGTATATATATATATATTTCGATACATTTAGATAGATTTAGATAGATAGATATAGATAGATATAGATAGATATAGAATGATTTAGATAGATTTAGATAGATTTAGATAGATAGATATAGGTAGATATCGATAGATATAGACAGATATAGATAGATAGACAGATAGATAGAAAGATTTCATAGACAAACAAATAGATATATAGATAAATAGCTACTATAGAAATAGATACATGAATAGATACAGATAGAGATAGATATAGATATAGATATATATATAGATATATAGATATAGAAATATTTATATATAGGTAGATAGATATAGATATATATAGAAAGCTATAGAAAGATAAAGACAGATATAGATAGATACAGATAGATATAGATAGATATAAATAGATTTAAATAGATTTAAATATATAGATAGCAAGATAGATAGATAGACTGATAGATAGATGGATAGATAGATAGATAGATAGATACTTAGATAGATAGATAGATAGATAGATCGATAGATAGATAGATAGATAGGATAAAACTGATAGATAGGATAAAAAAAGAAAAGATGGGCTAGATGAGATAGATAGGAAAGATCGGATAGATAGGATAGATAGGACAGATACGATAGATAGGATAGATAGGATAGAAAGGATAGATAGGATAAAAAGGATAGATACGATAGATAGGATAGAAAGCATAGATAGGATACATAGGATAGATATGATAGAAAGGATAGATAGGATAGACTAGATTAGATTAGACTAGATTAGATTAGATTAGATAGATTGGAAAGATTGGGTAGATTAGATAGATTAGATAGAATCGATAGAACAGACAGATTAGATATATTAGATAGGTTAGATAGGTCAGATAGATTAGATAGATGAGAAAAGATTGGATAGATTGGATAGATATTGGATAGATTGGATAGATTGGATAGATTGGGTAGATTGGATAGATTAGATAGACTAGATAGACCAGATAGATCAGGTAGACCAGATAGATCAGATAGATCAGATAGATCAGATAGATCAGATAGATCAGATAGATCATAGATCAGATAGATCAGATAGACCAGGTAGATCAGATAGATCAGATAGATTAGATAGATTAGATAGATAGATAGATAGATAGACTGATAGATAGATAGATAGATAGGTAGGTAGGTAGGTAGGTAGATAGGTAGGTAGGTAGGTAGGTAGGAGGTAGATAGATAGATAGATAGATAGATAGATAGGTAGATAGATAGATAGATAGATAGATAGACTGATAGATAGATAGATAGATAGATAGATAGATAGATAGATAGATAGATAGATAGATAGATAGATAGGTAGGTAGGTAGGTAGGTAGGTAGGTAGGTAGGAGGTAGATAGATAGATAGATAGATAGATAGATAGATAGATAGATAGATAGATAGATAGATAGATAGATAGATAGATAGATAGATAGATACATATATATATATATATATAGTCTAATTATAATATCATTCATTACTGCAATATTATTGGACATTATCATACAACAAATAATATGCAGAATCATAGGATACAAAGCAACATACTATATGACTATACACCACTATTGATACACTATTCTTAGTTGCTATAGTAAATATTAAACGTGGCAATTGAACATCTACCCTTTTTTTGATTAGGACATGTTCATGGATTATCCCAGCTATAAACCTCCAGCGGGAGATAATACGGCATTCGACACCACCAAACAGTATTATATATTCTATCCCACTATCCAATGACGATACTGTAGTACAGAGTATATTTACAATGTTGTCTTGTAAGATACACAACCTCCGTTTTCGTTTACAACAAACTTTATCGATATCATCTATTTGTTAATCTACAAATTCGTTCATCCTCCCAATATTGTTTTCAGTAGTTCAGTCATTGACCATCTTCTTGGCGGAAGTCTACAAAAAAACACATGATAGGATGTGTTTCGACCCATCATGTGCTGCTTAATTCCCTATCCTTGCGCAATGTTCCCTTGCCCAATCGCCTTCAAATTGCGAAAAGTGCCCAAAGATATGGTAGAGGTTTTGACCAAAATACTCACTTCAACCATCTTCAATCGCCTTTTTGGTGGATCACAGTCCCATTTGTCATACGCGACTTCGTTGGGACGAAATCCTGCCCGGGTTACCCCCGCTTGCGAAATCCTCTGTTGAGCTTTCTCCAGGATGGCCTAACGCTGCATCTCTGGTGGCTGCAGCCGAAAATCCTCACAATACAATTGATGGTTGAGTGATCCCAAAAAAATGATCAAATGCGCATCTACTGCATCTACTGCATCAAAAAAACTAATCAATTAAATGTAAATAAACACGCCCCATATTCAATTGTCTGATAAGTCTATGCATATCTGTCAGGTTCGTGCAGAATCACATAAGGGATGATGTTCCGCAGTTTCCTCTAAAGTTTTACCAAAACTCAAAACATCCCAGAATTATATGGGTTCGCCTGCCATAGGATACCACCAATTTTGATGGTGTATCATCCTGTTCCCTTTAACAAAGTGATTTTGTTTTTTCCCCATTTTCAGACATACCCAAACATCACAATCATTGTGGGTTATGTATATAGAAAATATATCCGATTATATCCCCACTGTATCCCCAGTGTATCTTCATAATATCTTCATCATATCCCCATTTTTATTTGTTTATCAATTCCCCATAAGATGCAATGTGTATCCCCCATCGACCATTTTCCCAATCACAACCCTTCCCAATCACCTTCACCTGTTGCGTGTAGCCGCTGTCGCGGGCCACTGCCGCTTGACCTGAGCCCAGTGATTTAAGTTTGTTTAAAGCCGACAAAAGATATGTATATGTATATATATATACCAAAAGAAATAGTAACGCTAGTTATAAACAACTACCCTCCAGTCATCAAACATGGCGGACAACTAAAAAATAATCTATGTTATGAGCATCAAAGGAAAACCATCGAGCTAAATGGGGCATTGTCCAGCCCTGGAATATGGCTAGTTGGATATATATATATATATAATCGCCACATCAAACGTTGCAATTGGAAATCCACCATTTAGTTCAATGAATGTCCCAGTAAACTTAACTGAACCTCCATACGCATTTCGGGTATTTTCTTGCCAGCCACGTTTGATGACACCAGCGCTATATATTTATTCCAATCATTTTCCGATTAGATCCCAAATGTTATCCAAATATAAGACAGTTTCACCTCCAGAAATCCTTGTTGTTGTTGGTTAATCTACCATTCGGTGATACCATCTGTAATTTACCATAGCTATGGAAAACCAACATTCAGTAGTTCATGTTCGATAGCCATGTTACTATACTTTCCCAGAGGGCATTCTGTTAAACATCCCTGGCAGGCGCCACATTGCTCGGTGCTCCCGACGATCGGCACGCAACTTGGCTAACTGCTCTTGAAGGCCGCTGATCCTCAGCTGCCAACGGTTCTTTAGTTTCAAGTTTTTGAAAGCAGTTATTCTTATGGTTTTAAATGGAGTTATGATAAATGGGGTGACTTACTGACTTGTAACTGGTAAAGGGCCATAACTGTTCTTTTTTCTTTCTTCGGAGAAGGACCATCATGGCATCATTGGGTGGAATTTGTCTTGGACAAGTCCAGTAGTTCATGACAATTGTGCGTATTCGGACTGGTTCATCACTAAGACATGTTTCATGATGGTTGGGCCAGTTAGGCTGCTTTCATGTAGTGACTCATATTGTATACGTTGTTTATCCCTGCCCTCTCTCATCTCTTGATCCACAATGTGGGCCCAAGATCTTAGATTCTACCAGCCATCAAACATACCCCTATCCCATCCAAGTATGCTGGCTGGTAAACAAGTTATAGGTATCCCGATTGCGGATTACATCATAATCATTCATACTCCCCAATCAACTACGGTAGTTCACTAGTTGATGTACAATTCCCTTCTATTAAACCCATCACTCAGGCGGTATGTTAACTTGAATAACTCTACTGATCTGCCCCTCGGCTCTGGCTGCCTCCAACTGATGAAATGGATCATGCTTCGCAGATCAAGTTTGGGCATGGTGATACGCCAACCCTTGCTACTGAAATAGATTGAAATATCCCGTTGTGTCTGTTGCTCTTGCTGCTTCCAGATACATAATATATATATATAGGATTATCCTCTGGCAATTTAACTGTTTGATGAGAGGAATTGCCATTCATAGTCAAATCATCATGTTTATCATCTATTTCTATGAGCCATGGCTTCCAGTTCACGAACGGTTAAATGACCGTTAATAGAGTATCTCCACTAAAAATCTCATTCAATTCCATGGAAAATCGCGTTTTGTTGGATGGCTAAACCATTGCTAAATAACCAGAGGTTTATTGTAAGTGGATTTATCTATCCAGTTGGGGAACAAAAATCAGCACGATGACTCCGATGACCGAGCTTATGGCTCACCATCAATAGCTTTGACCTGCTTCTTGATGCTGTCCACACCACCCTGGAACAATGTCGCAAAATAAGGGATGAAAGAAAGCTCCATGAAGCCAACTTGGTGAACTGAATACATTTATACATATATATGTATACATAGATGCATACTATACATTTGTATGATTGTATAGTGTACAAACAATGTCCATATAGAGATACAAATATAGATAGTGATCAGGTTTATTTTTGATGATTTTGTTTCCATAAATGCAGCACCAGCTGCTGCTTACTTCCTCTATGTCACCTTTTTTGAAGTTCAAAATCCAGCCAGATTTGCGAGGGCCACCATGTGAACCTCACAAACACTTCCACTGCTCCCAAAAGGGTGAACATGCAAAGTAGACACATTCACTACTTGTTTACTTGAGGGCCATGAAGTACTGAAGTACTGTAGAGAATTCAGTAACGTCAACTAGCCAAGAAGTTTCCAACTTGCAAACATTCATCTTTTGAATCCATCTGGTGACTGGAAACCATCCTGCTCGGGTTTAGCGTCATTCCTCATTAAAATGAATGAACAAAGACATCTGATATACGCTCTGGTGATTTAAGACTTTTCTATGGAAAATCACCATGTTTAATACAAGTAGGCAAATCATAGTAAAAGGCATTTTTTCCAGAGCAAACTGTTAAACTACCAAAAAATACCAAAGAGTATACATATATTCTCGGACTTGATTTGAGAAACTTAACCAAACAATTGCCAACAAAATGACGGAGAAAGTAAACAAACAAACAAACAAGCAAGCAAACAAACAAACAAACAAGGTTTCAACCATAGATGTCCCTTGTAACCAATCCATATATCTATATATTATATAGTTATATATATATACACGGATATATAGTTATATACGTATATATATATATATATATACACACGTGTATATATATATATATATATGCTACATCCACTTCCATCTCCACAGGCACCTGGATAGAATCCACTTCGCACATCGCATTGGACAGCTCTTGTTTTGCCTGCCATTTTCATCGCGCCGTGACCAGCGAACCGGGTTTATTTTTTTGGATCAGACCTAGCGGGGCTACATGGGTGTCTGAACATAAGCTACCCAAAATATCTTATGGTTGTTCAACATTTCCTTAAGTAAATCACCATAAAATGGTGCAGTAGTACAACCCATGTTCAGGATTGCTGATGTGGGCTCCATGGGAATTCTGAAGCTATTTCAACCTTACTGTCTACAGTCTGTAGGTCCATGGAGTACATGATTTCATCATGTAGGGTGCAGCTCAAAACTACGAATCGAAGCTGCACATGGCGTCTTTGGCTTACCAAACAACGCCGGCTTAAAATTCTCAAGGATCAAAGTTTTGGTCTTCGACGTATAAGGTCTGGGGGACTTTTGTGCTCGAACTTGATCTTCATTGTCAAAACAGGACAAACGCGCACATAGGTACACACACATGTGTGGAAACGCGCACACATATGTACGCGCGCACACACAGACACACATACTTTCTTCCAGGGAAACATTGCGTATTTTTTTCGGAATTTCGGACTCATGAGGCTTACATAGTACACTTTGGCACTGGCACATTTGTTTTCCAGTAGCACATTGTTTAGGGGTGGTTAGTCCACGCTCATTTCGCCAAGACCCATCGCCGGGAATCAGTCCAAAGAGTGTATAGTACCCTAAAACTGGATAGTTGAACACAACCAAGAAATACACATCAATGTTCTTTTTGCCATTCAAACAATTCAATGGATTGGTTCAAGGGAAAATTAGCAGGACCCCCCCCCATATTTCATGGGAAAATCCATGCTTTCCAATTTCGATTTTCGCCCAGTGACAGTCAGCAAGGAGCTGTTTCCATCCTTCAAGGACCTGGGTTTCACAATGTGCATGCTCTGTGTGTGTATGTGTGTGTATTACATGTGTGTATATATATATATAAATGTATTGTCAATCTTGCATAACATGATATAAAATGTACAGTATATTATATTGCATACATTAAGAGTGGATAAGATGCGGCGTTTGTTCAATTCAGTTTAATTATCCATATAATTAGCACATTGCACATAATTCACACGTGTATAATATAGGAAGTTTGGTCAAGCAATGTCAAGCGTCATTTACCATGATGCGGATGCATGCCTATATTGTACGTGACTATACAAAATTCTGAAGATATTGACATCAATGGCAAACAACTTCTTAATTGGTAAAAAGTGGTGTCCCCCCTGTTTTAATTCGGTTTATAAATCCAATTGCATAAAGAAAGGTATGTGTATCTACAATAAACATCCATAAACCCACCAGTTAATCTACGCCAAAAACCAATTTGGCTATCCTAAATCACATATAAATCACACATTTTGTTGGTTGATTCCCCATTTTTTCCATATAAACCACCAATTTTGTTGGTTGATTCCCCATTTTTTCAATGGTTCAGCACCCATCAACGGCGCAAAAAAGGGCGCCGCTTAACGGCGCTGAGGCACTTCTCTAGCTTCGCCTTAGTCGTCCTGCAGGATGTCTCTCGAGCCTTGGGGCGGCTTCAGTCGCGAAATGGATTGGGCTTAAATGACATACTGTAACTGTATATATATAAAATATAATATATATATATATACATAATATGATATATATATATATGTATATCTGAAATAATTAATCATTTAAATATTATATGTATATATATATATACATGAGAAATTATAATGGTGTTTCAATAGAATGGGGTTATATATGGGACAAAAGTGTTTCCAGGATGGTAAAATGATATTTACCATGATTTTACCTCATATTTCCAGGTTTCTGACTGTTCTATCAATCAGAATCTGAATATATCTTGGGAAAACGTCATGGGGATATAGTGGAAATATCATGGATTAATAAAGGGACCATACTGGGGATAGAATGGAAATATCATGGGACTATCAGAAAAATAAAAGGATACAGGATACAATACAACTGGTATTATAACCAAACAATAGCCCTTTACACTGATGTAATTTATAAGTTTGCTACTAGTACGGACAATGGACCATAAAGGTTCGATGATTTGCATGTGATAAAAATAAGGTGATTTTTACGAAATGTGACCTGTTAAACTACCAAAACATCACTGTCAAAAATGACAAACATGACCATCAAAACGGGATGGCTAGCCAGGGTAACAACCTTTTTGGTCAAAATGGATTCAGTAAACCATGCTGCTTACCATGAAGTGCATCATTGGGGGGTTCGATCTTATAATTTACCTTCAATCAAGACAGGGAATCAGCTTCCGCTACATGCCTCGATCCATGCCGAAAGCGGTTGGTCTGTAAGCTCCGCACATTGGAGAGATCTCGAAAGGCCTTGTGTTCCTTATCCATTCCCACCACCTCAGGAGCTGCAGAGTGAAGAATCACTGTAAAAAAATCACCGGTTTTGTGATGCGTTGCGAATCGCAGCCCAACGACCTGGTTTGGTTTCCAAGACCAAGTTGCCTTCAATATCTTCAATCAATTACCTATGGGTTATGCTACTCTCTGGCCACATGGCAGTGGGACAAAAACACATGGCATATTCATGGCATATTCCATCCTCATGGCACGTGAATGGTCCGGAAAAACGTCCTACACATCAGCGACTCTTTTGCCGTTCATTTGGTTCTGCTCTACTGACCCTCAGAAACGTGTTATAGCAGTTTTTGGTACCTCCCAAACCTATGTTTGCCAGCAAGCCGTGACAGAACACGGCCACGGCCACTTCAAAATCTCTTCTACAAAAAAAACAATCCCTGTGAAACACGCATCAAATACAGAAAAAAATCCAGGTTTTCGCAGTTCATGGATTATGATCATTCCCCATAATCCCCAATATTGTTTGGCAACATTGGGGCGTTGATCCAATTCTTCGCCTACCATCTGAGCCATGGACCACTTCATTCAAGGATGTCAACATGTCCAGGAGGTCCTGCCGCCAGTCGTGATCAGCCTGTTGGTCTGCAAATATATGCTGTGCCAACTTTATGTAGACATGTGGATTCCTATATCTGAATGTGTATTATATTATGTGCATCAGTCTGCAATAAATATATGATTTATGATGATTTATGGTACTTATACCATCTTATACCTATAGTATCCTATAGTTCATGGGGCTTATACAGGAACTTATAACTGGGGGGCTCCACATTGTATCAAATAGGCATTGGATGTATGTAGATCAATGTACTCAGGATCTCAGGGATCGACATTGGGACCGCGATGTACCTGGCATACCGATTGGTTATCCAATTGTGAAACCATGAATTATAGCATGAATGGCTAGAATATCTAGTGAACATATATACAAGAAATTTCATGGTTAATTGGCGGTTTCAACCAATCCCACATCAAGATGTCAATCGGGAAATCGTCACTGAAGGAAGGATTGCATACACCTCCCTCACCTCCCACTGCCATCAGAAGTAACACATCGACCCTGCCATTTTTCGGGGGGTTGGGTTCGACTACATTCATCTCTGATATGGTGATCCTCCGGGTCCGGGGATGTATCGGGGGTGTACCACCCGATTCCTCAAATACCCAAACGCTCCATGTATGGAATATTTACCTACATTTCGCCCAAAAATGGCCCAAATGGAGGTAAATATTCTATACATGGAGCATCTGGGATATTCTGGCCATATCAAAAGTCATAGTCTATTTGTCGAAAAATCACACACATGGAAACCAGTAGAGACTAATTCCCCGAATGCTTCAACCAGCATGTTGCATATTTCTGCCACCTTCTGTTTCGCAACTTCAGCAGCTTCCCCCTAAATCCAGTGACTCCAGTGGTTAATGTCCTCTATTAAAACAACCTGAAAGATCCGTTTACGCGGCATACCCCATTTTCAGAGAACCCCATATATGGAGGTTTCCTAAAAAATTGCGGGCCCCCAAATGATCCATTTTAATAGGAATTTCCATGACATAAACCAACCATTTTGGGGCACCCCCATTTACAGAAACCTCCATATCAACGAGAAGAACGGTGCCGCGGCCCTGATAGGCCCACCTTCTCTTGGACTTTGCCATCAGCTCTGCTGACCTCTGAGAACGAAGTTATCTCGCTAATTTGTGTATATGATGTATATAAATTATATGTGCGTACATCAAACTTTGTGTATGCATATATATATATATATGTATATATATATGTATATATATATGGTACCACCCCAAAAAGTCTACCATGTTCTCTGTTTCTTACTGGTATTTACAATGTTTTAATAAAACTTTGGCATATATGTTTGAAGGAATAAATTTTGAATGTTGTGCATGGTTTTGGGACCATGTGTTTTTTCATATGTGTTTTACTCATTATACTTTGTTTTGGCAGTAATACATTGTTGGGTTCCAAGGAGAATACAAATACATACATACTATATACGTTATATATATAAATATATACATACATAACCCCATGGAGGTTTTCAACCAAAAACAAAGAAACCAAAACCAAAAAAAAACAAAGATTGAGGACCCCATGGGGGTTCCCCAACCAAAACAAAAAAAAACAAAACCCAAAAAACAATACCCACCCCCCAAAAAAAAATCGGACCCCTTGGGGTCCCCAAACAAAACCCAAAAAAACAAAACCAAAAAAAAAACAGATTTGGGACCCTATGCTTTCTCGAGTTTGTCTATGTTTTTTGATATATATATATATATAGATATATACACATATTTTTTGGGGTTTTGGTTGCGGACCCCCCATGGGGTCCAAAATCAATGTTTTTTTTGCTTTTGGTTTCTTTGTTTTTTTGTTGGTATTGGTTCTGTTATTTTTGGTTCTGTTTTTTGGGTAAGAGAAAGCAGTGAAAAAGGTAGACGGTTGGGGGGTGGGGGTGTAGCAAATATATTGTATATTTATTGCATAGATATTATACTAATATATTATATTTACATTTGTATATATATATACACATAAGTGTGCATATGTAAATATGCATATGCATAAATACACATGTCGTAATTGCTTGTTGGTTTGTGTTTTTTGTCGAAGATGTTGAATCACGTTCGGAATGAATATATGGACGGGATGGGGTCCGGTCGGATTCCAACAAGTCATGAACAGTTGAGCAGCCAGAGACGGAAATATCACTAACTAGCAATAAATGGCGATATATGCCATCACCAGCTAATATATGCTAACAATGTTAGGAAATATTACTAGAAATACTAGACAAGCAATAAATTGAGAACTAACTACCAAAACGGAAATACTAATTGTTTGTTCTTAAATCCAGCTTGGTGTTCTCGAGAACTGAGGTATGCCCCCACTTTGCCAAGTATGGGGAAAATGTTTGGACACCCAGTTAACTGCGGTGCGTTTTGTTTACACTTACAGTTAAAAAAAACCGGTACGAGCTTGAGGAAGCATGGGGGTTATATAGTCAGCAGTGATAGGGCATGTATGGACTCATTGGGTTGGTTTCAAGGAATATTTACAGGAAACCCCTATCATTGAATGTAAAAATAAACCATGGTGTCCTGTAAAAAGTGTCCCTTTAACCAAACCATTGAGAGAGAACTATTTATATACTTTCAGCAATCACACTGAATCTTAGATACCTGCCAAAAAAACTTTTTTTTTGGGCTGCCTAGTACATTTTACCATTGATAGCAAAAGATTAAAGTACCCGAGTAGCTAACCAATTGTATTTAATGATTGGTACGTATACTGATCAACCTAAGTATCAGTAGTATCTAACAAATTGTATCTAATAATTTAAAAGATTCATCGAAACAATAATTGGTACCATTAGTCTGTTGACCCAGTATTTCATACTTTATTATTTGATGACTGTAATCTAACTCAATATATTGGATTAATATTGGAGTAATCATGATTGATCTAGCTCTATATTTAGTTGTCATTAAATGATATTCTTGTTATCATTTCATACTCTATGATAATTCTTATTTTAATATTATTGTTATTGATCCAGTAATTGTTATATAATCTTGGTCGGTTGACCCAATAATTTCAGTATTTCATGACGCTGTCAACCTTGAACGGCCACATTCCGCCGCGCGCGTGGCCTTCTGGTCATGTCGCAGCAACGCCCTGAGGAAAGGACGTTCTAAGAAGGACAATTGACAAATCAACTCATCTATGAATAATACGTTTATGTATATATGTCTATAATCAAACATATATATATATACACATAACTATAGCCTATACATCTATCTATAATTTGTATGTACATATATAAATAAATACATATCATGGTATGAATACTTACAATATAATATAAAATCGTATTTGTTTATATATATATATATTTATATATGTTATTTTCGCCTATCTGTACATCTACCTAGATCCAACATGTGTACCCATGAAAATTGGTGTTTACCGCACATGTTTTGTGCTCTTGCCATTTTCTATGAGTCAACTGTGGTATATATATATATATATATAATCATACATTATATATATATAAATAGATATCATTCCAATGTTGGATGACCCTGAAACCAAACAATGAAACAATACGCCGGCCTGCCGGCGTGTCTTGTGGATCTTGCTTGTTCGTAGTTGTACTGTTTGTTTTGTCTTTAGTCTTTGTCTAGACTTTCCCCTTGGCGCGGATTTTTGCCTCGTCTAACTTGAACCTCGCGCAACATGCGCATGTTCTTTTTTGTTCCCATTTCCATGGTGGTGCTGCGATCGGTTTGCTCTGTCATTCTTACACCTTCTACGTTCCTATACCTCATACAGGTGGCCTGTCAATCCACTTGCTTGTGTGCAGAACACCATTTACACGCGCAACCTTTCTATGTGTGGCCTTTTCCAAAAACCTTGGTTCACACACTGCTTCGGTTTAAATTCAAACCCTGGTTTACGCAGACACCATGCTTTGTGTAAAAGCGCATCTTCCTACTAAATCCAACACGCTGATTCACAGGAAAAAAAACGTGTTCCAAGTGTTTCACAGAAACACCATGTTTTACACAAACATCTAGAAAAATAATGTTCTAGTTTCGCCCTTCTATCCTGGCTGCTGCTATTCTGAGCTGCACGCGCTTGCACTTTACCTCCTCCTATGTCCTGTCTCTGCTATACATGTTTGAGACGCCAAAATCTTTTAATTTGCGTCCATGGCCCCAAATCTGCACCCCTATCCTGACTGCTGCTACGCTTTACTGCATGCACTTGCACTTTATCTCTCCTATGTCATGTCTCTGCTTTGAAGGTTTGATAAACCCAAATAGCTCTGGCCGTGGTGGCCGGCGGAACACGCCAACGGCGGTGAAATATGAATCAGTATAAATCAATAATGGTGCGGTCTTTCCTCAACCATCGCAGAAAAGACATGTGACTAAGGCAAACATATCTACGATCACCGCAAACAACCACCCCCTTCATGGTGCTAGTCAGACATCTAAGGAGGTCTTCATTCAGGTACCCTTTCTGGGACCCATATCTGGACTCCAACTGCGAATGCGAGAAACGGTGTGATTCTCTCATCTCATCATACAAGCACGCAGGTGAGCAACGGCCAACAACACACCCTTTGACCCAAACTGTCTCATCAAGATAGATCAAAGTCCCTTCATGGTGCTAGTCAGACATCTAAGGAGGTCCTCATTCAGGTGCCCTTCTGGGACCCATATCTGGACTCCAACTGCGAATGCGAGAAACGGTGTGATTCTCTCATCTCGTCATACAAGCACGCAGGTGCGCAACGGCCAACAACACACCCTTGGACCCAAACTGTCTCATCAAGACATGTCAAAGTTTTTTCATGGTGCTAGTCAGACATCTAAGGAGGTCCTCATTCAGGTACCGTTCTGGGACCCATATCTGGACTCCAGCTGCGAATGCGAGAAACGGTGTGATTCTCTCATCTCGTCATACAAGCACGCAGGTGAGCAACCACCAACAACACACCCTTTGACCCAAACTGTCTCATCAAGACATGTCAAAGTCCCTTCATGGTGCTAGTCAGACATCTAAGGAGGCCCTCATTCAGGTACCCTTCTGGGACCCATATCTGGACTCCAACTGCGAATGCGAGAAACGGTGTGATTCTCTCATCTCGTCATACAAGCACGCAGGTGCGCAACGGCCAACAACACACCCTTTGACCCAAACTGTCTCATCAAGATATATCAAAGTCCCTTCATGGTGCTAGTCAGACATCTAAGGAGGTCCTCATTCAGGTACCCTTCTGGGACCCATATCTGGACTCCAACTGCGAATGCGAGAAACGGTGTGATTCTCTCATCTCATCATACAAGCACGCAGGTGAGCAACGGCCAACAACACACCCTTGGACCCAAACTGTCTCATCAAGACATGTCAAAGTCCCTTCATGGTGCTAGTCAGACATCTAAGGAGGTCCTCATTCAGGTACCCTTGTGGGACCATATCTGGACTCCAACTGCGAATGCGAGAAACGGTGTGATTCTCTCATCTCATCATACAAGCACGCAGGTGAGCAACCACCAACAACACACCCTTTGACCCAAACTGTCTCATCAAGACATGTCAAAGTCCCTTCATGTTGATAGTCAGACATCTAAGGAGGTCCTCATTCAGGTACCCTTCTGGGACCCATATCTGGACTCCAACTGCGAATGCGAGAAACGGTGTGATTCTCTCATCTCGTCATACAAGCACGCAGGTGCGCAACGGCCAACAACACACCCTTTGACCCAAACTGTCTCATCAAGACATGTCAAAGTCCCTTCATGGTGCTAGTCAGACATCTAAGGAGGTCCTCATTCAGGTACCCTTTCTGGGACCCATATCTGGACTCCAACTGCGAATGCGAGAAACGGTGTGATTCTCTCATCTCATCATACAAGCACGCAGGTGCGCAACGGCCAACAACACACCCTTGGACTCAAACTGTCTCATCAAGACATGTCAAAGTCCCTTCATGGTGCTAGTCAGACATCTAAGGAGGCCCTCATTCAGGTACCCTTTCTGGGACCCATATCTGGACTCCAACTGCGAATGCGAGAAACGGTGTGATTCTCTCATCTCATCATACAAACACGCAGGTGAGCAACGGCCAACAACACACCCTTTGACCCAAACTGTCTCATCAAGATATATTAAAGTCCCTTCATGGTGCTAGTCAGACATCTAAGGAGGTCCTCATTCAGGTGCCCTTCTGGGACCCATATCTGGACTCCAACTGCGAATGCGAGAAACGGTGTGATTCTCTCATCTCATCATACAAGCACGCAGGTGCGCAACGGCCAACAACACACCCTTTGACCCAAACTGTCTCATCAAGATATATCAAAGTCCCTTCATGGTGCTAGTCAGACATCTAAGGAGGTCCTCATTCAGGTACCCTTCTGGGACCCATATCTGGACTCCAACTGCGAATGCGAGAAACGGTGTGATTCTCTCATCTCATTATGCAAGCACGGTGGTGTCATGTGATGTGATGTGATGTAGTGTCCATGTGATACTTTAAGCATTATGTCAGTGATGCGGTGGGGAATTGCATGAACGCGGCTAGTGCCCCCCTTCTACCTGTGATAGTATTGAAAAAAACTGGGGAAACATATGTCGTGTTTCCAAACCATTTTGGCACTGTAATTTACCTCCGTCTGGGTTTTCCTACCAGAATATAGCTGGTAGTGGATTGGGATGTTCCTTCTTCCGATGGTGCAGTCTGCAGTAGCCAGCCACACAAACATGTCGGCTTTTCAGAATAACAGATATCGCCCATTTCCCCGGGATTCATTAGAAAAAAGTCTCCAGCAACCTGTTGCTAGCCCCAAATCTTCATCCAAAAATCTGGCGGAATCCTCGTGTTCATCCTCCTTTTCACCGGTCCCTATGAATCCAAATACTTCCTGAGAAGGTCCAGCGTCTCACCCCCAAACTTAGTAGCCCAAACACTTGATCAGAAGCTACGGCTGGATAGGGACTCCCCATGTTTTTTTCTCACCCTACACGCGTGACGTTTTGAGCCCTGGACGCTGAAGCCACATTGGCACCTGAAAATCGTTGCCAGGTCATGGACTGATTGGACTGGTGGGCCATGTAGGGTGCTCCCAACACAGCGCGGGCTGTTTTGTCTGGGGAGTTCTGTGGTTTACACTTATTTTGTGAGAAACCAACAACAATTCTCTCAGAACATGTCACGAACAAATACTTTAAGCACATTATTTCAACTTGATCAACATGTCATCGGCACGGTGAAAGTTTTGCAAACAACACATGGCAATCATCGTGTCGACGTTTGCGAAAAGTCATCCTAGAGATCTGGAACTTGAATAACACCGTCCCTGAAACTTTTTTTGGCGCGGGACAGGAACAACGAGAACTTGAACTATACAATTCTCGACTTGTGGAAATATGTGGGAATGAGTCAAAAATAGTCAAACAAATATGCTTTACCTCCGGTAATCAAACACAGAAAATTCACCCATTCAAAGATGCATTTCCCATTAAGGGCTGCATTTATGGCGGATTTCCCACGCCACGTTTGACCAGAGGCTATATAATACGAACTTCTCCCAAGCCCAGCTGGATCAGTGGCAGCTCTGAGCTGCTGGGACCCAGAAAGATCAGGCAGAAAGTGCGCCACATAGAGCCTCCGTCGCGAGTGAACTCGGGCTGAGCCACCCATGGGTGGCAAAAGAAAAGGAATATGGCCCAGCATGAAGTGGTGAGATAACCATATGGTCAAGATATATGGTTCACTTAAGGATAGATCAAGAAATATTCCAAGAACAACAAAATAGAGCCAATAATTAAATACTGTTACTGCAAACCTAATGAAATACTAGTTGGTTGATACGCTTCCCTAATGGTTATAAGATGTTATATAAGTGATAATCCCCAATCACTCGGTAGTATAACTCCTTTCAGAAGCAATCAACAGTTGGGCGATTGGATGTCATCTCACCATGACCCACCAGAAAGTGATACGAGATCACTGTGCCGCAAAAACGATGGGTCATATCGAGTCATATCTGGGCAAATCAGAATTCAGAGCTGTTTCAAGGCCACCCTGTGATGATCATCGATAATTCGCGGGCCATCAGTTTCCACAGCTATTCTTATTCTTCATAGCAAACACGTTTGTTTACTGGAAGGGATCCCCAACCACTTCAAAAACTGCCTGGAAATCAGGCGGCGCTCTTCATTCACCCGTCGCAGGTAGAACGTCACCTTCCAGCATTTTTGTCACCGGAATTCACCGAAACCATACTCAAATGGGCAGTCAGTGTGAGCCCCGACATGTCATTCCATGAAATACTCATTGGTTAATGTACTCTTGAGATGTATAACAACACTGTTTACACAAGCATAGGGATGGCTCAAAATTAGGGCAACGATTCACCGACGAAATTGAATGTCTTTGTGTAGCTTTGAACAATCGAATCTGGGGAATAAGAAGAACCAAAAACATTCAAACACAAATATGAAGATAAGGGGGTCGCAACCCAGTATCAACCCAGATTAGTATATTGGAGGACTTCGGAAGTGCGATGAAGTGCGGAACGGGTGCTGAAGGGCCCCACTATAGGCCCTATGAATTAACCTTTACAAGACCCCACTCACATCAATTCACTGTTCTTGGGTGGGGGGATTCTTCAAACCCTACATAAGGTGTGTGTAAACCATGCCATCTTTGTGCTGTTCTTGGTTTCATCCTCGGGCAGCAAATGTTTAAACAAGCAACTCTATGTGCAAAGGAGGTTTTACATGGTTTTACGATCTTTTTTGGTACTTCCCAAAGCTGTAGACTCTATGAAGCATCGGAAACTGACCTGCTAAATCCTGAATTGCATTGGTTTCCAAATGGGTCTCAGCCAAGTTGGTGCAAATGACTCCATTTTCACATGTTCACTTGGATTTATGATAGGCATATCTATGGCTACTATGGTCTACGAACCAGCTTTTAACTTGGGGGTAGACCAATCCTACTCCATTTGGCCACCTGCGAGAGGCGGCACCGAACGGGTGGCTTTTGAACCAAGCGGTGCGGCAGCCGGGAGCTGAAGCGGACAAGGCCAAGGTTCATGGGAGGCGCCCCGCCAAAAAAAATGGAGGTTTCATCATAATATAAATGTCAATGTTTGCAGACATGGGCATTTTAAGCAACCAGTGTGGTTAAGGTATCAAAAAACCAATCGCATTTTGGACTGTAGAACTATACATTCAAAGTATTTCAGAGTCATGTCAAACTTCTCAGCCCGTCGAAAGAAAGCAACTCCGTCACCCGAACCTGTGTTGGATTGCCCAAGACAACTGAGCCATGAAAAATACCCCTATCCTATCCCATTATACTGGTTGATAAATAGTGATCCCTAGTGACCCTAGTCTGGGTAGTAATTAGTGGTTAGGCCCCACCAAGTTCTCCACCACCAAGCTTCCCACCTCGTCGTCCACGAAGTTCCGCAGCAGCTGATTTTCGCCAGGAGCTTTGAGTAAAAGTAGCTATCCAGTAGCAGCTGGGAATTGACGGCTGAATTGAAACATGTATGGGTGAATGCAACGGCAATGTCTAAACTGCCAGCACTCCCCTTTGAAGCATCGAAAGGTGCTTCAATCCAAATCCAAATCAACCCAGCTCAAGCTACTTGCGTATATTCCAAGCACGCAGTGCAAAGTGAAAAACTATTGGCTCCCGCAGCATGAATGCACATGATGTCGGTGTGGAAGTCAATGCGCCATCCAACCATCAGCACAGCAGCACCACGCCCAGGAATTATTCCAGTCTGGGCCGCTTCCATTGGACATGTCGCACACCATTTATGAATCTTTGCAGCTCCAGTCATAGGTGCAGTCAAATACCTGCAGTTTTGGTTGGAATGGCACAGGGTGCCATATCGTGTTGTGACCATTTCGAAGGGAATCTCAGGGAGAGGAGATGGCTGTTTTGCGACGAAGTCGCAGGCCCTAGCAAAGGATCGCCAGGAAGAGCTTGATCGAGCTCTGTGCGGACCCTTCGTTCTTCTGCTTCTATCTCATTCCACTCCCTTTCGTAATCCACCATTGATGCATCAGGCGCTCGTAGGAGTTCCAACGCTGTTTGGAAATCAACTGCTGTTCGTGGGTTTGATGATTGTTCTTCTTCTGGTTGCGGAGCCACATTGATTGACTCAGCTGGCAGCGGAGCATCTTGAGCTGGATGCGGAGCATCTTGAGCTGGATGCGGAACATCTTGAGCTCGATGCGGAGCATCTTGTGCTCGATGCGGGGCATCTTGTGGAGCTCGGACAACATCACTCGAGGTCGGCCTTGACGAAGAGCCAGGCAGATCTCCTTGGGAGACCTCCTTCTTTTCGTTCTTCGCAGCTTTCATGGGGAGACTTCCAGGTTGAGCCGCAACTGTCGCATGAACGTAACCCCCCGTACTGCTGCATCCCAGAGTCGCTGCGCGGCCAAGGTGAAAATGATGATGACCAAGGTGTAGATCAAAGTGACTTCAAAAAGAAAATGCTTCTTCCGCTTCTTTCTCTTCCTCCGCTTTGGTGACTGCAATTGACACAGCCAAGGTGATCAGCCGTAGGACCTGAGCTGTTTCTGCCAGGCGCTTCTTTTCTTTGTTGGCCAGCTGGCCGTCCTGATCTTTCTTTTCTTCTTTCTTCTCTCCTTCTTTTCTTTCTTTTCCTTCTTCAACCTCAACTTCACTTTTACTTTCTAACTTCCCCATGCCCATGCAAACCTTCAGAAACTCAAATCGTTCTGCAGTCAGTGGCTTTGTTCCAATGTCGGCCACCATGAGCTCACCTGGAACGTGTTGGAGAGCCCATTCACCCGCAGACACTGACTGTATTGCATACGCAGCTCGAAGGCGCAAGTGACGTGTGCGCCAACTGCCACCGTCACCTGTCAGGATTGACAAAGCAGGCATGTTGTCTGTCTGCAGGACCTTTGGAACGTCAGGAAAAAGTTCTTGTAAGATCACATGGATGCTTTCACCAGCCACCATGCCCTCGATGATCTCAGTGAGCTCAGCTTCAGCCGTAGATAATGTCACAAAACCTTGCCGGCCAGACCTCCAAAAAACTGAAGAAGAGCCCAAAAGGACAACGAACGAGCCATGGCTTTCCTCAGAGTCAGGTGCAAATGATTCATCTGTGAAGACGGTCAAGATTGGATTTTCGCCTTCTTCAACTTCAAACTTCAATCCACCATTGGCTGTGGTTGAGAGGTACCCCTTGAGCTGGTTGCTTGCTTGGATCACAGCCTCAGGAGCACGAGTCACAGCTGATCCCATCTTTGAGACCACGTACATGAGATCTGGACGAGCTCTTGTGGTTAGCCATAGCGCTTCTCCAACTGCTTTTGGCGCCAGACGAACCTTCCCAATTGACGGAGATTCTTCTTTTGACTCCATCGCAGCTTGATCCCTTGATCGCGGAATCTTCTTTGCCTTCACTTTCTCATCCTCCTTTTGAACCATGTCCAGAGTGTAGCTTTGTTGTGTCAACATCCACATATCACGCTCGATCTTTTCGTTGTAGACCTTGGTGAGTTCCATTCCAAGAAAACGAGTAGGGCATTCAGAGACGGGCTCTGGCACCGACGTAGTCCAAGTTTCTTGTATCTTTTGGATGACTGCTTCCAGGAGAACCTTTGGGGCCGCAACCAAGATGTCATCGACATACGTCATTAACAATCCGTGCAGCCGTTCATCTTCTCCAGCACAAAGTTTCCACATATTGGGTTCTGATTGGAGCGGCTCCAAGTTGAAGATGGTGGTTTTTCCTTCAGAGTCCACATGGATGTCAAAGTCGGTGATCGTTTCGTCTCTGGCTTGACCCCAAAGTTTTGGAGATCTTCTGAGGCCGTAGGTTGCTTTTTCAGGGAGGTAATAGACGTCCTTCCTCAAATAATTAAATCTTTTCGGTGAGAAGTGCAGGCGGCTTCACAAGGATCAGGTTTTTATCCTCAGAGAGCACCATCGTCGCATTCAAAAATGCAGTGCGAACATCCAACGTAGATGCCAGCCATTGGAGCCGAGCAGCACACCAAACAAGTATGCGCAAGGCAGAGGAATCTGCCCCTGAGCTGAAGTTGTCTTCTTCAGGCTTTCGTGGTTCGAGGTTTCCGCAGGCTACCCATCTCATTTTCTTTTTTCCACCTCCAGGACCTGGTTTCCTTGTGAAGACCAACTTTGAAGGAATGAACTCTATACCTTTCCCTTTTTTCTCAGCCTCCTGTTGCAGCCAAATTTCTCTTCAGTTCTTCAGGAAAATCTTCTCGTAAGGCTTTTTCTTGTAGGAGTGATTCAACTTCGCTTTTGATGGCAGGCAGCCACTCCTCCGAATTTTCTGAAACATCCTTTGGCGACACAGTTCGTGTCTGCAAGATCTCCTCTTCTGCGTTTGGCAAAACCGCCATTTTCTTCAAACTTCCCAACATCTTCAGTTCTTCAAGTGCAAGTTCAGGGTCATCGTCGACCATGGTGCGCATGTCCTCTTCAATCATTCGAAAAAGATGCACTCGCTTTCTCTTTTCTTCCTCTTTGAACTTCATCCTCGCTTTCCTCCTCAATCTTTCTAATCGCTGATTTGCCTCTCATCCTTCTTCTAACCACCAGTGCGTCCACAGTTTCTTTCTCAATGGCGACCCAACCTTCTTCTGACAGTGGAAGTTGAGCAGGTTTTATAATCATCTTGGTGATGCGTGGTGGCGTATCTTTTGGAAGGATCCAGTGGCCATGATCTTCAGGAGCGGGGCATAGGTACTTCACGGTTTCAGTGGAGACTTCAAAAGTGCCACGACGCCACTTTCTTTTGCGCACCATCATATCAGCCAGAAAAAGAGGCCAATCAGGCCGAGTGCCAGCTCTGGCTGCTCGATTCAGCTCGTTGACATAGCGTGTTGCCGAAGGCCACCACTTTGCTTCAGCACCAGCTTGAAGAAGGATACGGCGAATCTGGGTCTTGATGGATTTCACGGCTGTTTCGGCACGGCCGTTGCTGCGGGGATCATCCCCCGGTTTTCTTGTGAGATGGATACCGCTCTCACGGCACCATTGTTTGAAGTGCCCTTGGAATTCATGTCCTTGATCACTATGTATATGTCCCACATGATACCCATCAGCTCGCAATCGCAAGATTATGTCCATGGTGACACATGTGACCTCTTTGGCTTTCTTTGAAAACATTGGAGCAGCAAGGCGAAAAACTCTGGCTTCAAACTCTGCAGCTTCTTCGCTCTCACCCTCGTTTTTTCTCCTCACCTTCTTCCTCAATCTTTTCTTTTTCTTCTACCTCACCCTCTGGGGCCCTTTCTTCTTCTACGGCTTCTTCTTCTTCTTCTTCCTCGTCGAAGATTCCTTGGACTGCAGGTTCAGGTTCTTGATCTTCAATTGGTATCGGAGCTTTTTCATCTTTCTTTGCTTCAAATTTTGGAGCCCCTTCTTCAAGTTCTCCAACCTCTTCTTCTTTGAGCTTTGAATCTTTTGGCACAGTCCAAGTGAGCGCACGTCGTGAGCTCCGATAAATGGCCCTGTGGTGTCGATGGACAAAACTCCATCAAGAGGATGTTTGACTTTTCGGTGAGGAGATTGCTGTTGCAAACTCTGTTGACAAACCAGCCAATCACGCCTGAAAGGGACATGGCATGGCCATGTTGTAGATGTTCTTGCCAAGAAAGAGGAGCAAGTTTGGGCTTTCGATGGATCACCTGAGTCAAGAGTGCTTCTGTCACCATAGACATAGTTCCAGGCGCCCACCGTGACAGTTCTGCAGAGGACTTGATGTCCGTAGGGTTGACGCACTTCATCTTATGTGCTTCAACATTCAAATCCAAAATGCCAGCCATTGTGGTCGGCTTGACTGCAGCTCGGCTCATAACCTCGTGGTTAGGCGCCACCAGGTTCTTCACCACCAAGCTTCCCACCTCGTCGTCCACGAAGTTCCGCAGCAGCTGATTTTCGCCAGAAGCTTGAGTAAAAGTAGCTACAGTAGCAGCTGGGAATTGAAGGCTGAACTGAAACATGTATGGGTGAATGCAACGGCAATGTCTAAACTGCCAGCAGTAATAATGCCCAATAACCCAAGTAGTGGCAGCTCCCTTGAATAGTCAATCAAACAGGGGTATCTTTAATGGCTCAACTATATATATATCTCTCTCTCTCTCTTTCTCTCTAGGCCAATTGATCACTGGTTGGCTGGTGGTTCAACCCCCGCGAAGAAAATATGAACGATTACATCCCATATAAGGATGCTCAACCAGAAGTTTGTCTGTGACCTTGTCCCAAGAATATGAGGCATTGTGATAAAATATACTATGCAGGACATGTAGGGATGTATAACTGATTTATCCAACCAAACAAATATCAAACAGCAGATATAGATGATTCGAAACCACCAGACCAATGAGCTAAATGCAAATTCTGCCTAGAATGGCTTTCCATGTCGTTCCTTTTTGGATGCTGCGACGTTGCGTCACATCCATTTCGTGCGGCCAGAGGTACAGGCCGCTCCACATGGCGATAACAGATATGTTTGGTGGAAGTCCACCGATCTCACATAGCAACCACTCGACCAATTTTAAACAATTAGCAAATCAGATCCTCAGAGAATTTCCATCTAAAACCTCTCCCCCTGCGTATATGTGCGTATGTTCATAGCTTCCAATTCGAAGGTTAACATCCTCGAGGTCCATGACATGGTGGATGCATGTCACCGAACCCGACCCACGCAGCCGGGCTCAACAGAGGCGGCCTGGTGCTGGATGTCATGTGGGGGGTGCAGTTCCACTGAGCTAACGGGTATATGATGGCATATGTACCTATATATATATATGCCATATAGGTGTATACACCTAATATAATATGTAACACTTTATATATATATACAATCACACACATATTCGGTGTTACATCCCAACTTTGTGGCCTGGAAAATCACCATTGGACCATGATTGCCATGATTGTATCCAGCAAAAACCCAACAACGCGACGTAAATAGAGAGGCTGTGAAAACAAGGTGTCCACTGGCTAATACGTGCTTGCCAAGTAAAATGATCCTTTATTACCACTAAACAACTACAATCATTCTGGAGTAGATCAGATAGCCCTAACTCATAACTTCAAAATTCTATGATTTATTGGAGATAAACAAAAAACAAAACATATTGAGTATGTTCGATCTACTCCAGGATGGCTATACAATTTAACACTCAACAAAAACACCTAGAAGATACTGAACATCCTGAATTATCAGTCATACTTCCCAAGAAGGTACTTGAATCCATAGCGGTTTCTATATCATCTTTAACCCCGGATTTAACCCCTTGCTTCACCACCAATGCCATCCACCCGAAACTACCGCTGAGGTCCAATCTATCGATAATGATTCCCACCTGAGGGCAGGAGTAAGAGACATTTTGAGTCTTTGTGAATCTGGTTGATTGACAGCCTTAACAGGCCAGGGCCAAAAAGCATGAAGAGGCCTGGGTGCTTTCGACTTTGGTCCCATGACATCCCATGACCACTTGCACGTATAAGAAAAATGGGACATGAATGGGCCTGAAGTATAAAACTACAAATCAACAGTCACTTTTTTTTAGGGAAGGCAACCGTCTTCCCCCCCTCCCCGTCACAAACCCGCGAAGCTGTCTTTTTGTTCTGGTTCCACGGCGTCATGCAAAGACACCTACTGTGAGCGACCGGCAGTTAGAATATGGATTTTTTGTGCAATAGATAGAACATGCAAAAATCATAACAAGAAATCTTATAGTTAGAATTAGAATATGGGATTTGGGAAAAAAACAACTGCAGTTAGAATATCCCGAACCATCCAAAACCCTGTTCATCAACTTCCCTTCCAGTTGTTTATTCTTCTCCCCGCGATGTCTTTGAGTCTGTACTCTACTGTGCTGTACAGCACGTTGCATCACGTGTACACACTCCAAAGCGTACAGCCAAGGTAAGGACCACACAGTTAATATAAAGTAAAACACAGGAAGGAGAACACATACGGAACGAAGGGCAATCAATTGAGAAATTAAATCGGCAAAATATGAATGAAATATGTATTCCACTTGTGGTGCCCAACTTGACTGTGGGACCAAAAAAAAGTCGAGATAGTGCTAACGAGCATTAATTCCCATGATTTTATCCCAAACCCCATGTAAACCAGTGGTATTGGACAAACACGCGTCGATGTTTGGGTTGCACCACTTGGGTCGCGTTGTCACACTTTGTTTGCTGGTAGGTTGTTTGGTTGTAATTGCCTGCTTCAAAATAAAAGATGGTGCGCACCTGCATTCATTCCCATATTCTAACTGCATGACTTTCGTCCAACCTTTGTGCAAACCAGTGGTATTGGACAAACTATTGTTCATATGTATCAGGTTACTCTGTGTGCGCGCGTTACCCGTATTGTACTGTGCGTTGCATCATGCGCACACACCCGAGAGTGAACACGAGTTGATGGATGGGTTGCATCCAAAGGTGTTGCTGTTTTTTTTCGAAAAATACATTTGCTATATATTGGTCGTTTCTCATAATTGTTCATATAGTTGTTTATCTGCAAAACATTGATACTGATAGATGTTTCTTATGGTTAGTTTCTATATTCTATCTGCATCAGTTTCTCCCAACCACATTGCAAACCAGTGATATTGGACAAACTATTGTTCATATGTATCAGGTTACTCTGTGTGCGCGCGTTACCCGTATTGTACTGTGCGTTGCATCATGCGCACACACCCGAGAGTGAACACGAGTTGATGGATGGGTTGCATCCAAAGGTGTTGCTGTTTTTTTCGAAACATACATTTGTTATATATTGGTCGTTTCTCATAATTGTTCATATAGTTGTTGATCTGCAAAACATTGATACTGATATGTTTCTTATGGTTAGTTTCTATATTCTATCTGCATCAGTTTCTCCCAACCACATTGCAAACTAGTGATATTGTACAAACTAATGTTCAAATGCATCAGGTTTCTGACACATACCGGCCGATACTAACATGTTCATTCATTTTGTGTATGATCCTATACTGTACAATATATATATATATATATGTTGCTTATATATATTCTAACTATTGTTGTATTTTTGGAATTCTAACTGCATTTTCCCCGGGGACGAAATTGGTACGGATGCTATTATCTGGACGTCAATCCATATCCATGGATTCCTTTGGATCATATTCTAACTGCCGGTCGCTTCCTGTAGCCGCTTGGCCACATCCCTTCCCAATGCAAAGTTGCCTTAGTGACAATGTGAACCCAGCTGCCCATGGGATCCCCGCGGCTTGTGGACATAGTAACATCTCACGAAAATGGAGCCTTTGACATTTCATGGTAACCTTAAACTCATCAAATGACTGGAAACTTGGATCTTTGAGGAACTTTGGTGTACTTCAAGTTGGGGGACCACTTGCATTCAATGGACCTACATTTGTTTTTGGTCTCGGTTTTCGCATGAGAGAACATTCCAGGTATATGTAAATTAATACTAGACAGTAAATAGAGTAAATCTTATCTATATTAAATATATATATATGCATCATATTTGCATTGCATGTTTGAGCCATTTCACTTAGTGTCCCGAACCCAAACTGCTCTGGACAGGTTGCCCTTTGCCCTGGCCCGGGCCAGTTCCAGCTCCCTGATCTTCGGCTACCCTCCGGTCTCAAACGTGGCAAACAGGGAAATCCCCGAACTAAATAAAAGTTTATAGCTGGGAACATGATCTATAAATTCTGGAATGGTGTGAAGCATGTAAAAAGGGGATTTGATCAATGGTGGATTTTCCACCAAACCCAGGGTTTGATTACCAGAGGGTATCCGAACTCAACAACACAGGAATTACTTTCTTCCAGTGATCCCCACCCTGACACACTCACCTGCTAGGGGAAGCTGAAGCCAGGCAGCTGGAAATCCATACTGAGGCCCCAATCACCAAGATTGCGCACAGTCCTTAGCTGGAGCTACGTGCAAACATGGCTGGAAAGTCCTACCATGTGGGGCACAGGTATGTTGGCTTGTAAACCCATCATAGATATATCAACCATAAACCATAGTAACCTAGCTTTACCACAGCTTACCTTTCTTGGCAGCAACACATTATGATTTCTTTTGGGTATATATCTCCAGTGTCCAGTGCCCAGGAACAGCAACCAAGATGTGTGCATCTGATCTTTAAAGAAATATCTTGGTGGATCCAACATAGAATTATTCTTCGCACAAAGAAATGGCTTAGTGGATTCAAATTAGAACATCAAACACGCAACTCATTGAAGCTCATTGCGGTAGAATCCTGTGATGGTTAGGACCCTCAAATTTCAAACAACATGACCTACCAGTTCTGCCAATCGACACGCCTGAGACAATGCTGTGCCAAGACTCCTCCTCGGCTACCACAAACCTTGGTGGGCTTTCCGTGGAGGGCAACAAGGTAATACTTAATCTCAACGAAAGTCGACTAAGTAGAATTGCTTGAAATTCACATTCAAGACATTTCAAGACATTTCAAAACTATCTTTGGAATTTTGCGGGCAACGAATTCGAACATCTCAACTGGATTTCATATAGAACTGACTGTCGGGATGATCCCCAATACTTTTCACGACTCGTGACCTGACAGTCTTTGATTTCTATAGGATTCGAAAGGGCCCCAAAGGCATTTGGAACTAGGTTTACTGTGTTATATAATTATGTATATATATATGTATATGGTAGATATATGGATATTATTATCTATATTGATATGTTTGAATGGCAAAAAAACATTATATATGATATAATTATGTGATTACCTATATGTTACATATATGTATGTATAGATACATAAAGTTCAATGGGTTTGTGAACCAACATACTTGGACGGGCTCACATTGCAGCGGATGGGGCAAACAGCACGACATGGTTATGAGTCAAAGCCCTGGTCTGGTACCCTTCTGTTCGCCTCAAAATAGCTGGAATTTATGGATGTCCGGTCCAGTGAAGTGTACCCAAATATGGTATCATAGGTTTTACCATGTTTTACCCTCCTGTGCGCTGACATAAATGTGGAAAACCCATGAAAACCCAGCATTGTAGATCGTTTTCCGATGGCTTTTCTTCGGCTTTTCCATAAATTCATCGCAGTTTTCCCCAGCACAACCCATCCGGATGCCGAGGGGCCACACGAAAGTCCCAGCCTCTTTCGGCTCGAACGCGCACGAAAAGCATTGGAGGAAACACCATGGCCATCCTTGCGGTGAGGCCACCAAATTAAAAGGATTTAATGTGGGTAAAGCAACAGTAAACCATCCCCATGTTTACATATGTTTACCATAATTGGGTTGTATAATGTTGTATAAAACATTACAATATGGCTGGTTTAGTATTGTTTTACTAACATTAACCCATATACGTTGGAACATCCCTAATTATATAAATCCCAAATTATTACAACTGCAGGATATAAGTGGAACTTCCCCAGATGAATGCACAATCACAATATAAAGATGGCTGTGGCTAGTCGGAAAATCCGCGAACTAGCCATGAAGGTTTAGTTCGCTGTGAAAATCATCTAACTATATATGTATCTTCAAAATTGCCATGTTTGATTACTCGAGGGTAACCGACAACTACCAGTAGGACAAGTTTTGAAAATGTTCTGCGATGATGAAACGTGGATTTAAATAAGAACATGGAAAGTGTCTCAAGAGAATCGGATACATGCGGGTACAATTTATACCTTACAAACAGCAGACTTGAGGATAAAGCCAGCAAAAGTGGGGATATGTGACACTAATAACAATCATAAGTCAAAATAGTCGTACTGTAATGACAACAACAATAAACATAGTAATATATAATAGTAATAATATGATATGAAATAACATGAAATAACTGATACTGCATGGGAGTGTAAACCATCAAAAAAACACTGATACGACGCGAAACAAGCAATCTACGAGAATGAGTAGATTGGTGCATCTCAAGAGGTGGCTACTGTTGTCATTTGTTTCCTTCTAGTGAAGCAAAGGATTATCAGAGCATATTTGTGGGACAAATGCCGACTGTTTTTGAACATTGCCATAAAATGACACAAGCCATTTCTCTCCCTCGCAGCTATCATTTACATCTAGTGGCTTGGAGCAACTCTGACCGGTCTGGGCGAAAATATGTCAAGATAGGGGGTACCTCAAATTGAGGATGGTTACAACATGTTACAACCATGGCCCAAAGGTATCCTTATTGAACCCACGTATCGCAGGGAAACATGTCAACATGTCCATCCATGATCCCTGGAGGCTGTGAGAAACCAAGCCATGAGGCAAAGTAGCACAAAAGCCTCCACCAAATCTCAAGCACAGCGATAGGCCTTCGACGTTCGGAAGTTCGCTCGAGACAAACCAGATCTAACCACCTCGGAAAGTTACAATCCTCACATGGAACCCCTGATTTTTTGGCTATATCCAATAGATATTTCATCTTCCAAACCCAATCTTTGGGGGTCTGAATTAAATTTAATCAACGCAGAAATTGACCTTTAAAAATCTACAGTACCTCCAAGAAACAGCGAATGAGATTCTTGGGTCGCTATGTGTCACAGGTAATTCTCAGAGAGGAACATGATGCTGGCTTATATATATATATATACTATATATCAATACATAATAAATGGTCAGATTTAGGGCTACCCTGCTTTGAGACAAGTCCACAATAGAGCACCATCTCCGCTCAGGACGCCATGGTTTTGAGTTGGGTTTGGCACCCATCATCCATCTAGATGGTGTACTGTATCGTAAATCCTGGCATACATTTGGCTAGCTTCTGGATGTTCCCGGGAACTATACGTGTATATATACATATACGCATAAATTCATATGGGTGAAAATACCACAAAAGGAAGGGGAGAAAATTACGACCATCCCTATGTTCAAAATATTGAACCCCCCAACAAACCCTGATTTCATGTGCGGCCATGTGGGGCTCTCAGTCCTCCCAGTTCTACTGCAACTAGGGCCAACCTCGGCGTCCAGACATCATGCCATGCCATGAGAATCCGCAGGAATAATGGCCAAATCTGTATGAACATGGATCATTCTCATACTCAGAATACTCCATAGCAGCCATAGCAATTACCACTTCCTGGATCCGCACCCGGGAACAACATTGCCACCCAGGGGTTCTGATACCGTTTACGGAGGATATCTCAACCAATGGTAACAAAGCAGGACACAAACCTGGATATGGACATGTTGGCATGTCTAGATTATGATAAAAAGTTAAAAAGTTCATGTGTTTTCCATGTCCATGTCTATGTTAGCTTCTCTCAGAGCAAGTGGAGTATTGCCAAACAAACAAACACGGAACACAAAGACCCCGTGCTGCTTGCAACATCAGTAGCTATAGGGAACACCATCCAAATAATCACATATAGGGGGGGTTCTTGTCTTTGCCATCCAAATTTTCACGTTCTCCAACCAGTTCTATGCACTGTCCATCCCTGTCCTCCAAAGTCACACAGAGATCCTGGACCAAGCGTCATTAGCAAAGAGCCGTTCAACAGCAGCGTCATGATCTGGGCGGCTCAGCATTGATCGTGGCTGAAGTGATTCCAACACTGGTGCGTTTTACGTAGGGAATGAATGGGTTGCTGGGGGTTGCTGGGATGATTATTGATAGGTAGCCAGTATCATTCCCAAAAATTCCCTGCGTTTAGCACCACTATATATAAATTTAATTTAATGCTGATATGGAGGTTTCGTGAAATAGGGGTACCCCCAGTCATCATCCATCTATAGAGGGAATATGCAAAAACCAACCAGCGATATAAAGGGGTAACCCCCCAATTTAACCCATCAACTCCTGGGCTTCGTTTTTCCATACCTAACCAGCAATCAATCTATATGATTCTATATCCATACCTTGGAAAAAAAAAAACTCGCCAGACTTCTCCCTACCAAGCCCACTCCCGAAAAATCAAAGGGACAAGATAAACACCATATGGCGCTTCCCGCTGCAGTTCATCCTTCCCCAGGCAGGCGCTCATCAGCACGTTCCTGTCGCAGCAGCGGAGATCCATTCACTTTGCATGGGAGATGTGGCCAAAAAACTGGGATATCACTGCTATCTCCAGCGAAATGGATAACTCACTCTGAATTCAAAAATCAAATGTGGGGAGATGGATAAACCATGATCAACCGCTACAGTGGTTGGTGCTTGAGCCAGCTATGCAAAAGGCATGCTGATCAATCGTCAGCCAGCTCCGTGTACCTACCTGACTGTCCAGTTTATTATAGACGGCATATGAGCAACGTGACACAAGCATGACGTACCATTCTAGCTGTCACTCGTGATTTCTGCAAGATCATGGCAACTTCTAAAACTGCACGATGAGATGTTTGCTTGGGATGTAGCGATGGGTCCAAAGAAGGCACACCCAAGTATATCCTCTAAACAGCAAAACCGACCAAATTTGGATCGACCTATTACCACCATTTTACTTGTGCAAGCAGCCTCCCTCCTTTCTGCTTCAAGTTTTTTGCAACATCTGGAGGCTTCCTGAAATGGGGGTACCCCCAAATCATCCATCTTCATAGGATTTTCCATGAATCAAAGCATCTATTTTGGGGTACCACCATTTATGGAAACCAACATCTTTTACTGTATCCTTTCCTGTACCAGTGGAAAATGACCGCCTGTACTCTGCAAGATCGTCTTCCTGGATTCCAAAAGTGAAGGACATTTCACTTCCAAACGTTCAAGATCTTTCAAGTAGAGTATAGTAATCATACTCTACTTGAAAGATTGATAGAAGTGAAACTTTTATATCCATGCCAACGGATAGAAATGCAAATTACCTGTGTTCTCTGTATTTTCCATGGATTCTACAATATTCTACAAGATCTTCCATCTTTTTGGCTGCAGGATTTTCCTGACAATCACCGTCCAAGGAGCCGAACTGGAAACAGCATAAAAATGTAGGAAATAAAGACCTGATGTCAATGCAGTTCTTTCCCACGGCAGAGAGACACTGCTGGAAAGGCAGTAAGTGGATTTTGTGTTCTATGTTTTATATGTTTGATCTGCCGCTTCTGGATCAATCGTGGTGAGATACAGTTCATTTCAGGAACGGTTGCTTCAAATTATAATGGGTATTGCATCTCTTACGCGAAAAAGAAACATCTGGCAAACTTAACATGATGTCCATATTTATCCAAATAAAAACAACACGTGTATGTTTTGTTGAGTAGATATTTAAAACATGATACCATTATATGAAACACATGAATGGAACATATCGTGAGCACATTAATTTGTGCAATGCTCTTCCATTAACTATGTGAAGTAATGGTTCGCGTCAGGATGCGGTACGTATGACTCCTCAATTTTATTTGGGAGAAGCAGCGGTGGCAATTGCTTGCCAGCCGCACAATGGTTCGCTTGGTTTAGTCTGAGGTGAGCTCCCCAGTTATGTTTGTTGGTTTATAAATCCCACTAACTACTTCGATATATCTACCATAAACCACAGTTATCCTATAATACTATAGGTATAACATGTATTAACACGGTATATGTAAACCAACTTAGCTAACTCTGTCATACTGTATCCCATTAAGTAGCATCAAATCACCATTGTCAATCCATGAAGGGCCTAACCTTGGGACACTAGTCCAGATCCTCCAGTGAAACTTAGGCCTACCCCCTACAATCAGCATCTTAACAGGGAACATAGGGAGAAACTTGGGGGAAAACTTGGGAAACTGCTGTTGGGCCATCACTTTTTTAGGGGGGTACCGCCATTTTCAATCAAACACAAGTGGCCGTAGTTTGCCACCATCCTTCGCAGCCCCCTGGACCAAGTGACCAAAATGAAACCGCACCTGAACCAAAGCACCAAAGCTTTGGAGGGCCAGGCTGTGAGTTCTGGAACTGCGAGGCTGTGATTTTACAAACAGAATCAGAAGTTAGATGTTTGATGATATAGATTTACGTAGATGATGTACAGTATGATCAGACTATGCTGGCAACGTGACCAATAGATTCAATAGATTTGAGATGATTTGAAGGTAGACCATACTGCGTTCAATCATGTTCAATCACAGAAAGGAATTGCATCAAATGAAAAGAAAAGGGTGACTTCACGGACTTCAGGATGTTCACACGGAATCGGTCAAAATTGAAGCCAATTTTATGCCACATCATTTGGTTCGTTTTTAGGCCGCAGCCATATTCTTAGACCATTAGACCGTTACAGTTTATTTGTTTCTCTCAAAGGTGGGACTGGCCCGTGGAAGTGCACGAGGTTTGGGTGGAATAATGAGGTGGGATTGAAAAACAACATCCACAAATTTGGCGGACATCAGCGTGCAAGCTAAATCATCCAAATGCTGGCGTACTGATTTGATTGGTGTTTTGATTATGACTTGGTGACTTTGACCCGCTGGTGTTCAACACCCAAAATAATATAATATATAGAGACTCTCAAAATTGTGGGCGCACTGTTTGAGCTCTGTTGCAAGTTTCATTACAACTAGTCCACCTGGACCTTTCAATCAAATGAACCAGCAAAAACATAGGTTTTAAAAGATGATGGTCACACCGCAAACTGTCATTTCCGGGTTCCATGTCAGATTTCTATAGAGGCAAAAGCATCACATATTGGTCGGAAATGAAGTCATCATCTGATTGATCTGATTGGTTTCAAACTGTAGAATAGTCATCCAGAAACATCATCCCAAATATTTTTTAGTGCGGCACAGGCCTTTTATCGGCGACCAGTTCATTGCGACAGTACCCTCTGGTAATTTAACGTAGCTATGGAAAATCACCATTTTCAATGGGAAAATCCACTATAAATGGCCATTTCCAATAGCTATTTTGACATAACCAGAGGGTACCCCAAGTTTGTGGCTTGAAGTCCCCATGGCTTGACCAAATGACCATCTCGCAGTGTGATCCACCGGTCGCTGACCTACAGGCGCGAATCTCGGCATGAACTTCTGGTCCAATGCTTGTGTGTGTCGAGTCTGTAGCCTGCAGATATTTGTGTATACATATAATAAATGTATATATATATTATATTATATATAGGATTGACAGCCTCACTCTTTTCTGCAATTGCCATGCAGGACAAGGTTGGTAGTAAAATAACATTCTGTACAATCGAAAGTTCACCGCCAGTTCACCCTTCTGCAAACGCGTTTGGTTCAGCAAAACCATTCTAAAACGTTTTTTTTTTGGAAGGATTTTGTTGAGGAGTTTTGTTTTGGGAGTTTTGTTTAGTGTTGTTGTTTAACTCCTCTTCCTTCTCGAGAGTGAACTGTAGCGGCGGTTGGGGGTGGGAGAACAGAAAGCCGTGCTGAATGAGCAAAAGGAGAACGGCAGTAAATCCTAAATTTGGTAAACCAAAAGCAAGGATTGACAGCCTCACTCTTTTCTGCAATTGCCATGCAGGACAAGGTTGGTAGTAAAATAACATTCTGTACAATCGAAAGTTCACCGCCAGTTCACCCTTCTGCAAACGCGTTTGGTTCAGCAAAACCATTCTAAAACGTTTTTTTTTTGGAAGGATTTTGTTGAGGAGTTTTGTTTTGGGAGTTTTGTTTAGTGTTGTTGTTTAACTCCTCTTCCTTCCAGGTCCCCTACCCTTTCGGTGCACCGAAGGCTCAACACGGCTGACAGATTGCCAATGATGAATTAAGTTGTTTTGGTGAGGGGATGGACGAAACGTTATGTCAGTCAGCAGCGCTAGGCTGTCATGGATGTATAATTTCAAGGTACGTTCTGAAGTCCACCGGCCTGCATAGGCTACTTGGGAATAGTTATGTGTACTCAACCATAACTCCGTGGCCCCACCTCGTCTAAGCGAATAGGGTTTTAAGCCCAAGGCAGATAGGTGGGTATGATCGATGGCTTTTGAAAATTGTACACGGAAATAAGAACTGGACCATGGAATTATGTACTGATCTGGTTCGGCGGTGGCCTTCCATAGTCGCAAAAGATGCAACAACGTTCGGTCATGAATAGTCACGTGACCAGCCATTGGATTTCGAGATCCAGTTTTGGTGAGACCAAGATACAAAAGCCCAGATGCCTCATTATCGGCTATCACCAAGTGTTTGGCCCGGACGGAGAGAAGCTCTCCGGTGCGCAAGAGCGCGCGGAATGCCAAATAAAAACCCACAGAAACGGATGGGCTCAAACCATGAAACCAACCTAGCAACACGCATAAGACTTCCCAAGTGACAGGCGGGGCCCGACACGGGAGTTCATGGGCTTGCCACGCCCGCAATAGCTTCCACGACCCAGCGAGATTATGTTTTGTGGCTGGTTGAAAATAGGTGATACTCGAAAGTGTATCACCTGCAAGCGAGAGGGGGAGCCCCTCTTCCCAAAGGAATTCCAAATAATCTTCCATTTGATGATCTAAGCCAATCTTGCTACGGGAAATTTCCGACCCTTGCTGATGCAGATATGCTACAAAATGTTTGAAAGCCCGCTCGTATCGTACAATTGTAGCCGGTCTTACAACTAAAGATTTCAAAGTGCCCAACTCTCGCCTGCGTTCCTTCCTACCTGACCTAGTCCTGGCTTCAACTATTTGACGGCGGACCATTTTCGCTTCAAGTGCCCCCTGGAAGGGGCATCTGCAGGGTTTGTTTTTGTGTTGGTGTAGGCCAGGATCAGGAGGACATTTCCGGCAAGCAGTAGGGCTGAAATCTTTTTGCAAACATGGCGAAGTTTTCTGGAGGAGGTTCTACCTTTGTTCAGGAGCTGTAAAGACACCATGCTGTCAACCAGGTGGAAAACTCTTTGGCCAGGTACTCTCTGGCGGAAGAGACGCCACTTCAAACTTGTATATATTGCGCGCATCTCTAACTTGTTGATGTGTTCGGGGTGGAGATTTTCTGTCGGGCGCCACCTCCAACCACATATGGTTTTCCATCGCCACAGTTTCGGTGTTAGCGAATTTCGGAGCCTATGGGCCCTTGGCAGAACTTCTGTCTCAGCAGTGAGCATGACATCTGTACCCTTAGCCGAAACTAAGTGGGATAATTTTCGAACTAACTCCAGTTCATCATCACGGTTACTGACTACCGCCGCAAATGGCTGAGGGTGTTCCAAAGTGGGTCGCAACAATCGCCCTGCCAGATCCGGCGCGTTGCCCGGCCTAAGGAGGTTCATTACCTCCTGCATTGTTCTGCTTGGAACAAAGCCCTGAGCGCAAAGCAAGGGTTGACACAAGGCAGCTACCACACCAACATGCCATGCATTCCCCAGCAGTGACATTCGGCAATCATCAAAATCTTGGGGCCGATTGGATCGCTGCGTTTTATTCCAAGCTTGAGATGTAAAACCAATGGGGAACCCCATGATTGACTCTTTTTCTTCAATGGTCAACATGCGCCACCCATGTTTTTTGTGGATCACACCATTGGAATAATTGTATTGAAAAGGAGGAAACCGATGGCGGTCGGATTTCCATGCCTGCAAATCTCGGTGGGTGCATTTGGCCAGGCCTGACGGCTTAAACCGAGGCGTTTTGCTGGGCTGGGCAGTACAAAAAGTTGCAAATGCGCCTTCTGGATTTGTTAGCTTCCACCCTGGTTTGATAAAAGTCGAAGGCAAAATTGGGGCTTCCAAAACTATAGCACCATAATCACTGGAGTGAGATGTTTCAGGAGGGTAAATGAAATACCCTTCCTTTTTTGTAATTTCCCAATTAAACCACCAGAGCCGAGGCCGACGGCAAAGAGAAATTTGCTTGGAATCAACTTCATAAGGCAAAATACCAAAGACCTTAGAATACTCCTGCCTATCTTCTAGGGACATGCTAGACACACCTTCCAGTAAAGAAAATGTAGGGCACCAAGAAAAAGTTTCGGTGACCCAGCATCGAAGTTCACAAAATTTTTGACACATATTTGGGCACCCTGCATTCCAGAAAGACCTTCCTTGAGTAGGAGGCCCACCGCCTAGGAGGACACATTTGCAGTTGGGAAAAAGCGCTGCCCATTCCCGAACTCGATCAGGCGTAATCAAACATATATCCTCCTCAAATATGGTGGAAGGGAAATGTGTTTCAACCACGCGCCGTGCAGCGGGATCTTTTTCAATAGAAACGTACCCGCTTACGTTGGCATGTAAGGCGTCCAACGCCACCCGCAGGCTGGCTATGCCATCAAAAGCAGAAATTACTAGGATGCCCCCGTCTTGGAAAGATTCATGGGTTTCTCCGCGTACCAGGCCCCTGCTAGCATGAAGCCCAGCCTGCGTCAAACCAACACTTGCACACAATCCGCCGCCTGACTCCGAAGCGTCGCTTGCAGTAACTACGGGGTTACTAGGTTGCCGAAAGTCCATGAATGACAGAGGGCACAAGAAGAAGGCAGCAAACAATTCCTGGGCAACCTTTGGGGGAAGCGGCAAATATTGCTTGTCATTTGAAAAACTTGATATGAAAACCCAAACCTCGTTCAGGACTGACATGAGGGGACGCCGAAATGAAAACAAATAGACCAGACCACCTACCAACATCTGCATCTGCTTGCGGCTGACCTCCTTCCGTTGGAGTACAAAAACCAAGGAGGACAAATACTTAGAAATTTTGTCAGGTTTGGCTGAGCAAGTCCCTTGTTCGCCATTGATGATTGCCCCTTGAATTTCTGCACATTCCGCATTTGAGACGGCCTTCTTTTCATTCCGAGGGATTCCCAGCTCGGAATACTTGGATTGAAGGAGCTCAACCAGAGACAAATGCTCTGTTGACAGAATCTGCTTGGAGTGAATACAGAGCTCATCAAAATTATCTAAATATGTTCTGAAATATTGCCGAGCACGGGGAAATTCTTGGTCACGCCTGATTTCCCACGAGCTGCTGATGGAACCTTTGAGAGCTTGCGCCACCACCTGACGGTGGAGGTGTTGCGCCACCGCCACCGAATTCAAAAATCCCATTGGCAATACTCGGCTATAGAGGATATATGTTCCAGAGGTGTTAGGCGGGCAAAACTGTTGGGGAACCGGCTTCGAAAAAGCAAAGTAATGCCTCCAACAGTCAGGTAAACCGATGATGTAGAACATGGCTCTAATGTCCTCACTTGAAATGACAATTGATTCATGGGGGCGAATTTCCAGCTGGAACATCTGAGACAAAACCGGGAGGGTACTGAGGTCCCCTCCCAAGTGTAGAAAATTCTCATTGCAAGGTCGAAAATCCATTATAAGTCGCATAATTTCTATTCCTTCCGCCGTGGTCTCATTTTTGGGCACACCAAACATCCCACCTAGTATGGGCGCGCCATCGACATGTAGCACATCACTCAATGGCATTATACCGCACAACCCCCGGCCTAAGAGGCCTTCAACAACCCTAGGCCATTCCCCATCAGAAACCATGACTTTTGGGGGTTTCACCCAGCTTCGAAACCGAGGAGGCTTTAACCATTGCTCTGGGTTATTGATGAAATCATTGAAGCCTCCTATGCAAACATCTCTGGCCGGCAAAATGCCTGCAACACCTTCCTTGGGAAGGCTGTGGCTAATGTTCTCCCACCGAACGCTATGTGCAACATGAATTTCAACCCCGTAAGCATTAACCAATTTTTGGTTAAACATGTCTTGGGGGTGGAAATTACTAAGGTCAACCCCTTTCCAGCTTTGCAGGTGCTTCAAATTTCCCAAAACTTCCCGCAAGAGCAACCCTTGGTTCTTACTTGGGGGACCTTTGCCCAAACAAAACGAACGACAGGACAACCAATTCAAGGATCTTACCACCCCCTCAGCCCAGGTTTCCAAAACTTCACACCCAAAGGGCTGTATCCCTAGGGGTGAAGGGAGGGGAAAAATATCCTCCGTGGAGGTGTCCTGCATAGCTTTGCCAACAGAACCCTGGACTGAGGGCAGCAACCGCAACATGTGTGGGCCCAACCCAAACAAATCCTTGGCCACAAGTGATCCGAACCCTCTCTCACTATGCGCCTCCCTGCACAAGCTGCCGCGCTGCAAAGATGCGCCATGGCGTCGAAAGGATTTGGATTCAGAACGTTGGAATCCATGCGTGCCCTTCTGGGAATTTGAGCCTTCCTTGTTTGAGCCAGGAGGATCCCAATTCCCAGGAGGTGGGCTCAGCGCCCTGTGCATGTCACATGCTGTCCCCACTAGGGCCCTACTTCCACCATCTTGCTCTGTGGCTGATCTCCTTTCTTGCCTTTTGTCCCTCTCTTGTCCCAACTCTTTCCCGTTCCTTTGCCTTCTTTCCCTTGGGGAGGAGGGGGCGCAAAAGGCCTCTTTCCTTTTCCTTTCAATTGATTTGCCAACTTGGTTTCTTGGAAAAACTCTGACTTTGCTATCCTGGCCTCCGCCTGAGAGGAGAGCCCTTGGCTCTCCTTGGGAAGAAGTTCTAGCTGAGCAGCCAAATCCCCAGTTGTCCCTTGCTGAATCAACTCCAATGCCTTCAGTCGCTGTGCTAACAAATCGGCTAGCTGCAAAATCTTTCCTTGAAGAAGCAAGTCCATTCCCCATGACAAAGTTGCCATTTCGCGAAGAAGTGGTCGACTGCCACCGCGTCGCAGCAAGATCTGGCGATAATATTTTTGCATCACCACATAAGTTGATCCCTCTTCCCCTACATCCTGGGCCAGGAGATTGCTCGCCTCCTTGCAACAACAACGGGCTAGATACCCCGGCAGCTTTTTCGCCACCCGGTGCACCTGGTGATCTGAGCTTCGATCCTCTGAGGTGGATGAGCTCCTTGTTGTTGACCCTGAGCTGGAGGAGGCCTTGCGCTTCTGACTCATGCGAATTTTGATCGGGCGGCGGTAAGATGGGTCGAGGGGAGTCCGTGCAGGTGTCCATTTTGACTTCAGTACCATCTCCTTGACCTGCTGTTTCTTGGACTTTTTCTTTTTTGCTTGCCCCTGTGGACCTTCGCCTGGGGATGGGGGATCTGCTGCTCCTGCAGAATTTTGGCCGGGGGAGAAGCCGAACTGCATTGCTTTCTGGCGGAGATCGGGGTTCTCGTCCGCAACTCCTGGTGGGGTTGGAAGTGGAACGGAGCAGTTCTCGGCCCAAGGCTCTGTCACGGTCGCCTCGTTCATATTCACCTCCAGCAGATAACCCAAACCAATCTCCTCTGCCTTCTCTGATTCTCTCACCACCTTGGTTCCAAGATAAACTTTGTCCGCCGGGTTCATGAGCTGCCATTGACGCAGGCTTGCCACGTTGGTCCCTAGCACCTGAGCACCAATCCAATGGCCATATGCGTCCTCCACCCGGTCTTTCAAGAGAATGTTGGCCTCGCCTTTCTCGCCCCCGTAGGCTAGCTTTACGTGCTTCCGGGATCCTAGAGGCAATGTTTCTGGGGGAATCTGATTGATTAGCTTCCATGAAGAACTTGTTTCTGGGGCCTCTTGGCGTCTCTGCCTTGAGGTTTGCGGAGAAGTTTTTGGCTTGGCCGATGGTTTGGAGCGGGGCTTGGGTGCTGCCTTTGGCGCTTTAAGAATTCCGGGGCGGGCTGCCGCGGGCCTCCTCAGAGGCATCAGCCCACGACTGACGGGGCTCTTCTTGGGTAGTTGCAGGCCTGTCCTCAAGAATTTCTATGGGGGTGTTGTTTGTGGGATCTGCTGTGCCAGATTCCTTCCCTGCTGTTGGGGTGCTGTTTAATCCAGCCTTGTCCGGGTCAGGTGGAGCTGCAGGAGGATCCGTGTCCGAAACCTCCTCAGGACTAGACGCCTCGTCAGATGCAGTGTCAGAGACGCTAGCTGCAGCTGCGGGAACAGGGATAGGGGGCGTGTGGCTTTTCGCAATAAGTGTTTGCTTTTTCGCGTTCCACCACTCGACCCTTTTCAAGCCCCGGTTCTTTTTGGGCTTCTTGGTCTTTGTCCAGCCCCAACTTGGCTCAGAAGGGGTCCAGGCCCAAATGTTTTGACCTTTGCCTTGGAAGGGGGACCTCGCTTTGCCTTTGGACTTTCCTCCTGAGCCTTTGGATTGAGGAGGGTGAGTAGGTTTAGGTGGAGGTGAGGGAGGCCTCCTGCTTGGGGCCTTTGAGCTGTTGTGATAAGGGGGCTGCCTTGCTGTGCTATAGTCGGCCTTCTTATGAACAATAGCCCGAGGAGGTACAACCACAGGAGCCTTGGCGGGGCGAAGGTGCAAGGGTTTTGTTGCAGGTTCGCGGAGGGAAGGTTTCCAACTTAATGGGCTGTTTCTCCTCCTTCTTGGGATCACTGATCTTTCGCTGTCACGGGAGTCCTCTCTCCTTCTCCTTTTTTGATCCTGGTCTCTGCTGGCGCAAACACTTCCCACCCGGGGATCTGGGGATGGTGAAGGGTTGCGTAAACTTGCCGCTGGCCTATATCGTGACTGGGGTTGTTCCTGAAACCTTTCCCCTCCTGAACCAAAAGAAGGAGGATGTTGAGGAAATGATTGATCTCCTACAGCTGCAAAGACAGCAGGAGATCCAAGGTTGCTAGCCAATCTCCCTAGCAAGCGGGTCTGGATATCCAAAGCAAACTTGAAATCTTCCGGCAGGAATTCTGGCCTGCCAACCAAATTGAGTACTCCAAATATAGCCCGACAAAGCTCACAAAGGCCTCCTCTGTCGACCTCCCACTTTTGGCAGTGTCGACAGGAGGTCATAGAACAGAAAGCCGTGCTGAATGAGCAAAAGGAGAACGGCAGTAAATCCTAAATTTGGTAAACCAAAAGCAATATATATATATATAGATATTATATTATATATATATATATCAATATGTCTCTAAGTCTGTATCTAATCTATAATTACCAATATTAGATATATTCATGGTGGTGCGCATTCCCACAATTGCTGGGTTCTTTTGTGCAAATACTGTACCTTTTTGAACTGGTACATACTAATATTCCCATTGGGAATCACAGGGGGTTTTATTGGCCACAATGCAGTAGCTGGTGATGATATCACATCCAATCGCATGGCATCAGCATCCATCTAACTACATGGACAATAAACTCTAAGTCAGAGGCCTCTTTTTTCGCAAACTCAGCTTCCCCACAAGGTGAAGATCCATCATCAAAGAATCAAAGATAGGTGAATCATGGTGAATCCATACCCGTTCATCCTTAAATGGACTTCAACAAGGATGCAGCATGAGGCAAGTTGCGGCAAGTTAATGAATGGACCCACGATTCTGCCCATATCGAAGCCACCTATGGTTGTCAAAGCATTGTTGGTGGTTGTGTCGGTGAAGCGCAAGTAGACCGAATGGCCAAAGAGAGCAGAAATGACCTTCGGATGAGATTGAACGGATTTGACAGGAGGAATGAACATTGGTATTTAATCTTGGATTCATGATTCTTAATCGACTTTCAACCGATTTGTTCAAGAGTTCAAGGCCAGGGATTCCCAGAATGGGTTCTGACGATCCTCAAATGAACTGGGTAGTATTTTTTCACCCAGCTTATCGACTTCATAGATCCTTCTTCAGCACCAGATCGGCGACCAAGAAGCATAGAGACAAATAGAGACAAAACCAGTAATCTTCCGGACATTCTCCCAGGAATCGTCTTTCAAAGATGCCTCGGCAGCATCTAAAAAACTAGGGCGGGGCTTTTTTTGAATGATCCTTCAGTTCCTTTGTGGACCTGTCGTGTTTAGCTGTGTCAGCTGTATCCCCAGTGCTCCTGAAGAATCTACAGATAAAAACCACAGTGTGGTGGTTTCAACCCATCTGAAAAGTATGAATCAGTCCTCAAATCATTGAAATAACGACTGGTTGGTGCTTTCAACCCACCTGCAGAAATGACGATTATGATCTGCCCAGAAAAATCAGTCAGCACTTAAAGTAACCAAGGACTACCCATATGACTTTATATATATATATATATATGTATATATATAGTGTATATATATATATACATATATATATATAGTTATATGTATATTTTAACTATCATATATTATATTTACTTCTGGGACACTATGGAAAATATGGTGTCATCTAGGTTTGTTTGCCTCGTTTTCTGCAGCCCTTGTATGTCATCGTATTCACAACTGGATTCATTGCAGAAGTTCCAGGTTTTAATGTGACCATCAATATTGTAATTACCGTTTTGCATTGCACATTCCTTCAAAATCCTGCTCCAACACCATGTCAGTCGGCAAGGAATGCATCCATAGTGTTACCCATCTTTCAGTATAGAAACTGCATTCGGATCCAATCCCCACCTTGAATTCATTAAATAAAAACTACATCCCATCACAAGTAACCCATCACTAGTCAAAACAGGGGCAACTAATCTCGCCGTTTGGTCTGGTGCCCTGGCCAAGGGTCAAGAATGATGGGAGTTGCTGACTGGGTGGCATAGGCCAGTAATATCACTGGAATCACCTGCGGAAATGCTGGTTTTGTCTGAAGAAAAAGGCTGCCCAAATGGCTCCTCTGATCATGAGATGTTCCACTAGAAATTATCATTTTCTGAGTAACCCCTAAATTCAACATGTAACATAGAATTTAGTGGTAAGATGATTCTCCTATCAAACATGGTCATTTTGGGTTCCATATTCAGTTTAACAGTTTCATCACCAATTTTCACACAAACAAATCTAGTTCTGTTTGTCAGGACTGTGTGTCCGTGGATCCTGTTGGCTCAAGAATTTGCCACTCAGAACATGCAGGGCCATTGCATACCCATTGCTGGTTGGTGGCATGTATACAAGGTGGGTCCACATTACAAGTTGGTTGGTTGGTGTATAGACCCAGTAAGTATAGAACATAGATGAAAAGATATATAAACCCAGTATAAACCCAGTATAAACCCAGTAAGTATAGATATCTCCACCCCTCTAAGCATAGCATTCACCTCGTTCTCTGCACCAAAAGTGCGACGTGGAAACCCTGGGCCTCAACGAGATTCTTCATATCCAAGTGGAACCACATCATGGGTCTAGGTTCTCCACCTTTGAATTCGACATGATGCATGGCTAAGGGATGCTAAGGGATAATATATATATATATGATTGGTGGTTTTAACTATCTTGAAACATATGAAAGTCAATGGGAAGGATTATCCCATATATTATGGAAAACAACAAATGTTTTAAAATGTTTGAAACCACCAACCATATATATATATATATCTTATAATTATATATATATAGATAACTAGTGACAAGTGACTAACTAGTGAATCTTAATGGGATATATGATACAGTATAACCAACTAATACGGGATTGAAGCTGAGTTGAGTGAAATCACGAGTTTAACATATGGTTTATGGTAAACATATTGACATATAGTTAACCGAGAAAAACCATGGGGAACACCATGTTGTGCTGAAAGATGGGGAAGATACTTGGGATAAACAACCAACATCTGCGTGACAGGCATCATTTCACTATATAGTGGAGGGAAATGTGGAGTCAGCTAACTAAGAAATTTACCAATCATTTAATTGGAATTTGTTTGATATAAGAAGGCTTTTCTCATAAAAAAAAAAAATGAAATGGAATTACAACAATTCACCAACCTGGCGCTTGGAGATGTTTCCCCTATAGTAACAATCATCACCATGGTGACGCTGTGAGGTTGTGATGAAAAAAAGCACGTGTCGACACGTGGCAACGTCTTCAAGGTGTGGGATTGGGTATCGAGGTGTTCCAGCTACATCCAGAACACTACCCAGTGACACATCATTCTCAACTTTGGGATGAAATTGGGAGGGGACTGTTGTGGCCGCCTCTTTTTTAACTATTGTTGTCAAGTTTTTAATTAACCATGAACTATTTCACTGGGAAACCTACACAAAAAAGTCATGAATAACTCTTGAACCATTGTTTAGCCAAATGTCTTGCAATTTTATTTGGTAAGTTCCAGGCAGTCTTGACAAATGTCATGGGACACATATGAAATTATTTCGTGAGAAACATTATTTGCAGCCTTTACCAAGTTTTGAAAAGGATCTGAAACTTTAGCAGCAATGGCCCTCAGGTTCATTTCATCAAAGTATCTTTGGTTCAGCTAGTGGTCTGCCTAAAAGGTCTTGCATGTGTATATATACTTTTACTTTCTAAGTTGTCATCCTTGAAAATCACAAATTTTCTTGCAGCAGCAGTTCAAAATCTCAAGCTTTCAGCTTTCCAGGCATGTCAAAATCATTCAAAATCTGTAGATTTTTGGTATGCAGTTTATATGCAGTTTATATGTAGTTTATATGCAGTTTATATGCAGTTTTCAAAACTGCATATAAACTACATGTAGTTTGGTCAAAACTGCATATAAACTACATGTAGTTTTGAAGCTGCATATAAACTGCATATAAACTGCATATAAACTGCATATAAACTTCATATAAAATTTATATGAAAATTCAAGGGCTGACATGTGGTTTTTAAGGATTTTGATTATACATTTGGACTTGATTCCACTGATTCCCAAACCTTTGGACACCAATATGGACATATAAAATTCATAGTGTGATGCAATCAAAACTGGCAATGCCAGCAACTTGTTTCCTTTCCCAAAACTTTGAAACAATTGCAAGTGCAAAGGCCCAGTGCACTTGTTTACAAAAATGATTGAAGAATCATAAAAGGTTATTTCTGTTCACAAGTAAGTAAGCATCTCTAAAGATCCAAGATCGTCATATGTAAATCTCAAGTAAAGAGGTTTCAAGGAACCATAAAAGATTCTTTTGGCTCACAAGGAAACATCTGTACAGGCCCAGGATCATCCCCTACACATGTAAATCTCAAGTAAAGATGCTCTAATATACCACAAAAATCCAAGAACATCACATGTAAATCTCAAGTAAGGATGTTTTAGGCAGGACAATACAAGTTTCTGTTTGTGTTCACAAGTAAACACCTGTACAGGTCCAAGAACACCACATGTAAATCTCAAGTCAAGAGGTTTTAAACAAAACAATAAACTTCTTTGTATTCACAAGTAAGCATTTGTACAGATCCAAGAGCATCACATGTAAATCTCAAGTAAGAATCTTTGGAGGAAACTGTCAGTGAACATATAGAGATTGAAGTGCTAGCTACTATTGGAAAAATGTATATGGAAAATCCAAAACTGTTTCAAGTATCCCCAGGTTTTTGCCTGCAACAAAGAAGCATGTTTCAAATGTTATGGATGCTTGGTCCCAAAATGGTAAAAAGACAATGATATGATCTTTGCATGAACCTGCGCCTGGCATAAAGTACTCAGGCTTTGTTTGGAGGGTCACTTGATGGATCCTTAATTGAAGAAACTTCTATGTGCCAATCTTTACTTGTGGATTCAAGCAATATGGTATATATTTGATGGATCCTTACTTGAGGAAACTTCCATGTGCTAATGCTTACTTGTGGATTCAAACGACATGGCCTATATTTGATGGATGAGCAGGGAATATAGAAAATTAGCTAACCACATGTTGGAAATTAGTAGTTAAATAGATCTGATGATCTTAGATTAACTTGCTTCAGTAGTCCAGACACAGAGAGAGCGGCGCTAAAAGCCAATAAAGGCAGATGACCAGAGAATATAGAAAATTAGCCAACCACATGCCATAGCTTCAGGAGTCCAGACACAGAGAGAGCGGCGCTAAAAGCCAATAAAGGCAGATGACCAGAGAATATAGAAAATTAGCCAACCACATGCCATAGCTTCAGGAGTCCAGACACAGAGAGAGCGACGCTAAAAGCCAATAAAGGCAGATGACCAGAGAATATAGAAAATTAGCCAACCACATGTTAGTACTTAAATGTTAAATAGATCTGATGATCGTAGATTAGCTTGGATTAATCTGGATTAATCTGGGACCAAAAAAACAAAAAAACAAAAAAAAACAAAAAAAAACAATGTTTTGGAGACTAGTCTAAAGATAGCCCTGATCCAAGTAGTCCTGAAAACATTGTTGTTGTTTTTTTTGTTTTTTTTTTGGTTTTTTTGGTCCCAGATTAATCCAGATTAATCCTTGGGGCTTGAACAGATATCAACACACAAGTTATCGGAAGGGAATGTTGTGACACCCAAATCTCACAAGAACACAAGTTATCGGAAGGGAATGTTGTGACACCCAAATCTCACAAGAAGTATTCTTTATACATATTAAGTGTGAGATTTGGGCGGCCACAACAGTCCTTTCTGATGAAATTATGTCATTTATGTCATGATAAATATCTGTTATATCTGTTTTGGTACATCTACCCCATGTGAAGTTGCTTACGGCGAGTATCGAGTTATGAACCTTTCATCCTAAATTTGGTTTGATCATCCCGGACCATCCCTCATGAGTTTGCTGCGAGTGATGATCATATCATAATTTATAATATGTGTGTCCCAGTATTTTCATAAACCAAGGTACAAATGGTACAAATACCTACAACATGTTGAATTTGTTAGCGAGTTGGTTTTAATGTTGTTGGTTTTGGTATTGCTCTTGTTGCTTGCCACTCTTGGATGCTTCTGATAACACTCCAAGTGGTCGTGCGTCCACATGCTGGTTTACATCCCCATGTTCCCGAGGTTCCCCATTTATTTGATGCTTAACGTTCATCAGCGTCGTTCTAGATCTGGCTTTTTCCGCTGTATACAACATGACTTGTCTGAACTAACAAAGCAACATACCCTCTGGTCAACTAACATAACTATGGAAAATCAGCATGTTTAATGCGTAAATCAACTATTTCTATGGCCATTTTCAATAGCTACGTTAGTCATTACCAAAGGGTACGCATGCCGGCGACTGAAAAAGCAAGAGGCAGCAGCCCTCGTCGCATTTGGTGAGTGGCGGCTGGCAAGAACCTGGAGGAAAGGCGACTCTGCATGGAGGAAGTGAATCTACGGTTTTCTCCTGAAAGTGTGTATGACATTCAATAAATATCTTACACTAGAGACACTAGAGTATTTTGTATGTATATAATTATAATTATATATATTATACATACATATTACATGTACAAATATACTATACTAGGGGCAGATGACATAGGGTCGGATAAGTGCAAAAACGACCGCTCACAAGGCACATGACATAGGACTCAAAGATACCCTTTCGACAAAAGGGCAGATGACTTGGACAAGTTCTTGACTTCGGAGGTTCACTAATTTTTGCTATTGGAAATATCCCAGGTGCAGATGACTTGGGACTTACAAACAACCAAAGAGCACATGTTCCCTCTTTCTCTTGCTCCATTTTTTTACAGATGACATGGGAGTTATGCGCCGGCTTAACGGGCAGGCATTTTTCCATTTTTTTGACAGATGACATGGGAACAAGTGAGCCAATTTACACATGACATGGGACTTTACCGCAGGAGATGGGACATCCAAGGTGGGAACTGGCAGGTAGGGAGATGGGAAGAGGAATTTACCGCAGGAGATGGGACATCCAAGATGAGGAGGTGGGACATCCAAGATGGGAACTGGCAGGCGGAACTGGCAAGTAGGGAACAACAGGAGATGGGACATCCAAGGTGGGAAGTGGCAGGCAGGGAGACGGGAAGAGGAATTTTACCACAGGAGATGGGACATCTAAGGTGGGAACTGGAGATGGGACATCTAAGGGAGACGAATTTACCACATGACATGGGACTTCCAAAGCCGGAACTGGCAGGTAGGGAGATGGGAAGAGGAATTTACCACATGACATGGGACTTCCAAGGCCGGAATGGGACTTCCAAGGCCGGAACTGGCAGGTTGGGAGGAAAAATGTACCACAGGAGGTGGGAACTGGCAGGTAGGGAGACGGGAAGAGGAAGTTACCGCAGGAGATGGGACGGTGGGAACTGGCAGGTAGGGAGATGGGAAGAGGAATTTAGCACAGGAGATGGGACATCCAAGGTGGGAACTGGCAGGCAGGGAGACGGGAAGAGGAATTTTACCACAGGAGATGGGACATCTAAGGTGGGAACTGGCAGGTAGGGAGACGGGAAGAGGAATTTACTGCAGGAGATGGGACATCCAAGGGAGACGAATTTACCACATGACATGGGACTTCCAAGGCCGGAACTGGCAGGTACGGAGACAAGAAGAAGAATTTACCGTGGGAGGTGGGGCATCCAAGGTGGGAACTGGCAGGTAGGGAGATGGGAAGAGGAATTTACCACAGCAGGTGGGAACTGGCAGGTAGGGAGACGGGAAGAGGAATTTACCGCAGGAGATGGGACATCCAAGGGAGACGAATTTACCACATGACATGGGACTTCCAAGGCCGGAACTGGCAGGTAGGGAGGAAACATGTACCACAGGAGGTGGGAACTGGCAGGTAGGGAGACGGGAAGAGGAAGTTACCGCAGGAGATGGGACGGTGGGAACTGGCAGGCAGGGAGACGGGAGGAGGAATTTTACCGCAGGAGATGGGACATCCAAGGGAGACGAATTTACCACATGACATGGGACTTCCAAGGCCGGAACCGGCAGGTAGGGAGGAAACATGTACCACAGGAGGTGGGAACTGGCAGGCAGGGAGACGGGAGGAGGAATTTTACCACATGACATGGGACTTCCAAGGCCGGAACTGGCAGGTACGGAGACAAGAAGAAGAATTTACCGTGGGAGGTGGGGCATCCAATGTATTTAATAGCTTTATAAAATGAAAATTTCATTTTTTCGATTTTTTTTTTGAAAAAAAACTCTTAAATTTTCATTCCAATACCTTTGAAATGATCCACTGAATGTTGTAGAACTGACTGGGATGAACTTTTTTTCCCGTTTAACGCGCGCGCGCGTTGGCGGAACCCCGACTGGTAGCGCCAGCGAGCCGAGGCCACCGAGCGGGTTCGCCTTTCAGGGCGGGTCCTGTCCTCCAGGGCCACAGAGGGGGACACAACGGGAGGCCACAACGGGGAAAATGATGCAAAATGAGAAATGTCACTTTTATAGTTTGTAAACTAGAAAAAATTGCTTTTGTAAGATATTGAAATGTCAAAATTGCACATATTTGCTGAATACTTGTGTTTTTTTTTAAAAATGTTTTCTTTCAATAAATTGTATCCACAATCAGTTCTAAAACATTCAGTGGATCATTTTCAAGGTATTAGAATGATTTTTTTTTAAAAAAAATGCATTTTTTTTTGCCAAAATATGTTCAAAAAACTAATTTCTATCCATCAATTATGTCCACAATCAGTTCTAAAACATTCAGTGGATCATTCTCAAGGTATTGGAATGAAAATATATTTTTTTTTAAAAAATGCATTTTTTTTTGCCAAAATATGTTCAAAAAAGTAGTTTCTATCCATCAATTTATGTCCACAATCAGTTCTAAAACATTCAGTGGTTCATTTTCAGGGAATTGGCAGCGCTGAACGGCTACAATGACAAACAAAAGTCTCATGTCACCTAGTGCACACAACATACCCGCATTCCAAAATGAACCCTCCTAAGGTCCACTAAAAACACTAGTTTCCGGCAGATGACATGGAACCTAGATTTACACCAGGGTATGTTCCCACAAACCCAAGTCATTTGCCGGTAGTATATCAATACACAATCCACTCATATAATCCCAACCAACTCTTGCATCTGTAACTTCTGGTACACGACCATTGTTGGAACTTGTGGACCATCATGAGGCTGTAAGCGCCGTCTCAAATCAGCTATGGTCCCAGACTGGCATGTTATAGTGAAGGCCATTTGTTTGTGTGATAACTTCAGTTATAACGTCCAAAGTTGCTGCTTGGTTTGAAATCCCCGCATTGCTTGTCCTCTTGGCAAACCATCCAAGTGTCGGCAATATCCACCATTTCAGCTACTTACATCCCCATATTTTCTTATATCGAGCCCATTGTATCCCCATGATTTTTATCTTTCCCATTCTGACTGGTTTCTATCATTATCCTGGTTTTTGTTGTTTCACACCATTGCAGGCTAACATGTGGGGCTCCCAGATAGGTAAGTTGGTTTGTCTCACTAAGTTTACAACATGGTGTATGGATGTGTATGTACGTGTATGGCATATATTGGCATACATAGTTAGATGGGTGAAATTAAACCACAACGCAAAATAGGGGCGCCCACATTCACATTGTCCGACATGTTGAGCATCATATTCCAAAAACTTCCAGGATCCAAAAATCCCCACTTCGATTGGCTTCGAAATGTGTAACGTGCATCCTCACCAGCAAAGATGACATCCAATCATCCCAGCAGTGGCTTCTAATCATTATCAACATGATATTGATCCCATAACTGTCAGAATCAGTTTTCATGGTCAACTTTCTGAGACATCTCTCCGATACATACAATGTGGCCCCCCCCACGTATAAGTTGCTTAATAAGCCTCATGAACTATACCCAAACGCTCCATGTATGGAATATTTACCTACATTTCGCCCAAAAATGGCCCAAATGTAGGTAAATATTCTATACATGGAGCATCTGGGATAGTTATAAGTACCATAAATCATACTTATTGGAGTTATAAACGAAGTTAACTATCTAGGGGGCCCCACATTGTATAAGCTATACCGTAATCTCTGAGGGGATCCCATTGGAAGTCACCCCGGCCTTCCATCTTGCGTTGTACAGAGCTGGTTCCAGCCACCAAGACATCCCAATAGCACGGCAGAGCGATGCACAGCAGTTCCAGGAGACATGCCTAGGCAACCAATGACGGCAATGGTGGGAAACATTGGAAAACATAATATGGGAACGATGGTTAATGGATGGTGAATTAACGGTGAATGGCTAATTAATGGCTAACTAATGGCTATTAATAAATCAATTATCCTGATTATTAATGTGGTAAACCCAACAATAACCCATCCCCAATAGAGGTAAACATGACATTGGGAATAAGTACCCCTATTTGGGATAATGTAAGTGTTGGGCCATAGTTTCATCCCGTGGACGAGGTCGATATATCTACTGGTTGGTGGTATACCTACCCCTGTGAAAAATATGAAAGTCAGTTGGGATGATTATTCCCAATATATGGAAAGTCATAAAATTCATGTTCCAAACCACCAACCATATATATATATATATATATATACATATTATATATATATATGCATATGGAAAAATAGAAAATGTTCCAAACCACCAATCAGTCTAGCATCAACCGCAGTTTTTGAACTTTCAACCCACCAACTTAGCGATCGTGCGTTCGGGGGGCCACCTTGAGAATTTCTATACAGACCAGGACAATTCTCCCAATTCATATGTCTTGGGGGTGGCTCGGGACCAGTACAGTAAATAATCTGTTACTCTTGTGTACCTGTACATAAGAGTGACTGTGAATGGATTGTTTTAGGTCATTTTTTGTCCCGCAATCCACCAAAACTAGGCCAACCACACACAAACTAGGGGATATTTTGGGGGAAATAAGCAAGCCTCGATGCACCTCGAAATCTAGGCTATCCCTCCCCCAACGCTACCAGTGGATACTAAACATATGATGATTCTGGTGGTCCATGATGTCCATGGAATCTGTGGGAGAGATCAGATGTGAAATCAAGAGATTGGTGGGAGTATGTACAGGATAAATGCTTAATTCGAATCTTAGAAGCAGCGTAGAATAATTATGAATAATTTGGGGATTTGACGGTTTCACTGTATTACCAATAATGAAATATCATGAGGGTATGACTGCGATGACATGGACGTGCTGATGGTTCAGCCAGCAGCGATGATGGCGAATGGCGAATCTTAGCTGCCAGGCATGAATAGTTTTGTGGGTCCGATTTGTACCGCAGTTTAGGTTGCAATACAAATTCTGTGTATGTACGTGTGTATAAATATATATACATATGGGTGCGAGTCAAAAATCGGGTATGGATCGCTCCGCGGTGATCCGTACTATGGATCGCGAGTGCTTACGTAAGGTGCCTGATCCGTACCCTTTCGGAAGGGCTCATCATAGCATACAAGCTGTGCTGATACTCCCCGACTTGCTATTACTTCTCCTCCTGCTACTGTTGCTGCTAAAACTGTTACCACTGCTTGTCGAGGGAGCAGAAAAAAAACAGCACCAGCAGCAGTAGTGGCAATAGAAGGATAAGATGCAGCAGCAGTAGAAATAGCAGTAGCAGTAACAGTAGTACTAGTAAAAGTCAATAGTAATCTAATGGTAGTAGCAGCAGTAGTAGTAGCAGTAGTACTAGGAGTAGTAGGAGTAGGAGTAGGAATAGCAGCAGCAGCAGCAGCAGGAGCAGGAGGAGGAGTAGTAGTAGAGTAGTAGTAGTAGTAGTAGTAGTAGCAGCAGTAGTAGTAGTAGTAGAAGCAGCAGCAGCAGTAGAAGTAGTAATAGAATCGGACTTTCATATTGGCATTTGTTGGGGCGTGACTGGGTTCGGGTATGGATCGGGTATGGAACGGGTATGGATCGGGGTATGGATCGGGACACGCTATCTGGGCGGCTTTCACGCTATGGCTGTGAAGGAAGAGAGCGGGGTATTTCAAGTCTAGTCTAGTTCTACACGTGCCAGATAAAGCAGAAACAGAAGGACTTGTAATCATAGCGCCACTAGAAGTACAAGAAGCACCTAGTGGAACTAGAACCGGTCTTACTAGCCTCCAAGCTGCGCTTGCAATATTGCTAGTAGCTACTCAACTAGTTGCATTTGTCCAACTACCAGAAGCACACGGAGGAAGTGAACCAGCACCAGCAGCGAGAGCAGGACCAGCAGGAGCAGCAGCAGAAGCGACAGCAGCAGCAGCAGCTCCTGGGAGGAAGATGACTAGTAGTGGCGGCAGCAGCAGCAGCAGCACGGAAGCAGCGGAGGCAGCGGAGGCAGCGGAAGCAGCAGTAGCAACGATAGTAGCAACAGTAGTGGCAACGGGAGTAGCAACGGGAGTAGCAGCACGAGGACCAGAAGCAGTATTAGGATAAAAAGCAGCATTAGGGCCAGCATCAATCTTTCTTCAATGAGAAAGGGGTATGGATCAGGGGTATGGATCAAGGGTATGGATCAAGGTATGGATCATGCAGTACCGCAGGGTATGGATCAAGGTATGGATCGGGGGGTATGGATCGTGTGTGGGTTCGGGGCCTTGATCCATACCTTGTATTTTGACTCGTACCCATATATTTACACTCGTAAAATCCATATGTTTGGGTCAGCATCCCCATTTTATTGGGTTGCATCAAGTCACATCATTTTTTTGTTCACATGTTCTCCTTTTCAACTTGCCATATCTTAAAATCAATCTGTAGCTTGGCATCCCATTTCCCAGTTCATGTCAAAAGGTCAAAGTGGTACCCTGAGGTAAACTGACGTAGATGTAAATCATGAACCCATTGTTTCTGCTACAAAATGCTCATGGATGTTCAATATCTAAATATGGGTTTATAAAACTGCAAATAGGGCACCACCAAACTTGAGGGTTAACCTTGGTATTTCCCATATTTCAATGGCCACTTATATAATGGGTTTCTCTGGGTATATCCATGTGAGTTTTCCATTTTCTGACACACTGATTTTTCATTCCGGTTCTCTGTTTCAGGGCTACAATTCGCCAATCAGTGCTGGGGCACAATGGTTGCCAGTGTGGAGAGGATTGCGATGCGTTTCAGGGACCTCCCGATGGATCGCGACCAGCTGGAACAACTCGGGATGGGACCCACTGACGAAGATACTGGGGGAACTCCACAAGCCAAAGCGAATAGACAGGGACAGAAGTCGTGAAAACTTGACATTCATGGAGAATGTCCAAATATATAACCAATGAAACTGAGAGAAACATGCGGATATTGCCTACCAAGAATGAGGAAACGAGCCTGGTAGAATATAGATTGCGGCTCCAGATGAACAACTAGGCGCATCACCACGCAGTGAGAGATGTAGAAACAATAATTATCATCCTTCCGGGACTAAGTGAACCCCAATGATCTACCACCACAACTTTGAATATATGTACACTACAAGGATACTTCATACATATATATATATATATCCCTGTGTGCATTCTGCAGAGAAGTTGTGCCCACTAAACAGTTTACAAACACAGCCTTATACTACAAAATGATGCTTGAATCTGAACCAACCCCCCTTGCTACAAAATGGTTTGGGGGTTTTTATGATGGATCAAAAGCCAATGTCGGTCACTACAAAATGACTTTGCGTAACCATTTTGTAGTGAAAACGGGTTGCAATGAAAAATCATGATTCGCTACTAAATGGTTTCTGGAAACTTCACTCTAAATCTTTGGTTCACTTTCCGGGCCCAGGTCATAGTATTTGCCGAGCACAAGTAAATACAACCTTGGGATTTCCATCGGATTCCAAGAATTGACCTTTCAAGAGGTTTTCTGCTACGATGCTCAAAGCTATGGGGCAACAAAAACGATCTAAGCGCACAACTTCAAATTCAATTGATTGGTTTTTAACCAAATCTGTCCCATTTTTCCTTCTTGAAGTCTCTACATAAAAAGCATGTTTTTCGAACTTTTTGGGGCTTATCTGGAGGGAGACGCAGTGGGTTCTACAAAAGTCTGTGCACGCGTGTGTCACTACAAAATGCAGCGCATGACAAAAGTCATCCAGAACTAGATCCCTGTGTGCATTCTGCAGGGTAGTTGTGTCTACTCAACCGTTTACAAACACAGCCTTATACAACAAAATGCTGCTTGAATCTGAACCAACCCCCCTGCTACAAAATGTTTTTGGGGTTTTTGATGGTGGATCAAAAGCCAATGTGGGTCACTACAAAATGGTTTCGCAAACGGGTTGCAGTGAAAAATCATGATTCTCTACTAAATGGTTTCTGGAAATTTCACTCTAAATCTTTGGTTTACTTTCCGGGGCCCAGGTCATAGCGACCTATTAATGGAAAATACTCCCCATTTAATCAACACTAACCATATTATACTATATTATACTCCCATTATTGTATAGATAGTCCCCTTGAAAAATTGTTCACACCCAAACAATTTTTATGGGAACACATCTTTTTGTAGTAAAAAATGTTTTGCATCTTTTTGTAGCAAGGGACATTTTAGCCAGATATGGGGTTTATAGGTGGGATAATTATAATGGGAAGACCTCGTATAAAATTATTTCAGTGGCATATTCCATGATTTTTTACCCCAAATTTCCTCAAAAAACGACATGGGAAAATACGATGGCCAAGCATGTCCCGCCATCGTATTTTTCCATATGGCATATTTTCGGTACAAAAAGCCAAAAGACCATTTAATCATCACTGACCTATTAATGGAAAGTAATCCCCATTTAATCAACACTATCCATATTATACTATATATATATTATACTCCCATTATTGTATAGATAGTCCCCTTTAAAATTGTTCACACCCAAACAACTTTTATGGGAACACCTCCTTTTGTAGTAACAAATGGTTTGCCCCTTTTTGTAGCAAGGGACATTTTATCCAGATATGTTTTTTTTTGAGGTGGGATAGTTATAATGGGAAGATGTCGCATAAAATTATTCTGGGCATCTTCCATAGTATCTTGGATAAATAAATGATATATTGACATATATTGGCGTTATAATAGGCAAAAACACCATTTAATCATAACTAACCCACACATGGAATGGCAAGAAGGATGTGGAATGGTGTTTTATGGGGTGCCACTTGTTGATGTTGTTTTTGAGAGGTTTTGATGGCACCATTGGATGGCTTAGAAAATAAAGCCTCCTGTTGCTAGAGCGAGGTTCTTTCTCACATTTCGACGTTTGATTATGCGCGCGGGCCGAGCATGACTGGCAGAAGAGGGCTTTGGGGTTTCCGGTACGACACAACGCGTCCCAAAATAAATCACTACAAAATGCGTTTCCGATTTATGAGTGCCAAATGGAACGCCGCTACAAGATACAGTGCACACCCTTTTACTACAAAAACTGGTGCACGGGTCCATTTTTTTTGCTTGAATTATCCACGAATCAGAGGATGGTACCAAGCACGTGTTCACCCTTTTAGTAGTGGAAATGGTAAGGGGGATATATATATATATATTTATATAAACTGGTTTGATGCTTCGTGTCAGATAAGAAGCCCAGGCTTTTCGCTTTGGGTGACTTTTCGTTCCATCACTTCCTTACTGAAAACCACAACCCTTTCACTCCGGCCGGAAAAGAGTTCGCCGGTCTGTCTTTTGCGGTGCTAGCGCCTGATCAAAGTGAAGGGCATAAGTAGGAGCATGCCAAGCATCGTTGCTCCTTTTCTTGACCTTGTTGCGTTGATTGGAATTGGTTTAGTCAGTTTTGTCGGCAAAATCTGTTTGAAACCATGGCATTTGCCCTACAAATTGGTTGGGGGGTTCTGCAAATTCTGCCTTGAACCATTTTTTTGATCAAACGCAAAGTCACCGCAACGCTACAGAAGGTCATCAAATAAATTACTGCTAACTGATGAGTAAAATTGTGGCTTGGAGAAAGCTCAAAAAAAATGAAAAACACAGATAGCATCGTCGTAAATATGTATTCTGTCTTTTTGGGAAATTTGTCGGATTAGTGATCGAGATAGACACCCTTCCTTCCTAACTGGGATTTGCTCAGATATGCAGTGGCAAGTACAAAGAGAGAGAGAGAGGGAGAGGTATCAACAAAATATGACATATCATGGCTTACCCTCTGGTTGTTTAACATAGCCATGGAAAATCACATTTTTTTTATAGGTAAACAATCTATAAATGGGCTATTTTTCCATGGCTATGTTAAATAACCAGAGGGTATCCTCTCAAAATTTGCTATGGAAGGTCCAGGGGTCCATTTAGTTCGATGTTTTACCTAGACATACATGGCACATTTTCCATCAACTGATAAATTACCAAACGGTATCGCATCGTTGTCCCATATCCCATGTATATCTCTACCAAAAAAACTCCCAAAATCCCAAGTTTTGGCTGAGGGTTGCAGTACATCGTACTGCAACAAATAATATATATATATATAAAGCAACCCCGAAGAAAGATAGGACAGTAATTCATCACCTTACTATGTTTATTTCGATTTGACTTTTCTATACTTGTCTATACCTTTCTATCTTTTTGGGGGCCACTACATAAAACTATGTGTTTTCTAGATTTACACCCATCTTGGAGCTGGCGCAATGTTTTCATTGGAATTTCCCATCTAGCTATAGCTTTGTGTGACACTAATCACCTGTGAACCACCCTCTCTTATATGTCGTAACAAGGTTCAACTAGCATTTTATATGTTCTACTTGGGTTTGTCTGAAAATAGTTTACCTCAAAATAAAAGTATCATCATTTATATATCATTTACATTCTTTAAATTATTATTTCTCATCATTATATATATATATATGTGCTATGGTCAACACACATTGCTTATGGATCGGGGGTTTACATAAGGGGGGAGGAGTTGTGCAGAGCAATTTGATAGGTACAGAACACAATGCATCCGACCTGCAACTACAAAATTGGCTGCACAGGTGCCCTGCAAAATGCAGAGCACAACCTGATTTGATTCAGAAAACAATTCAAGATATGCACTACAAAAAGCTATGCATCTGAAGTTGAAAATAGCTGAACATCGGAAATTCTAACACAAATTTTCCCAATAACATTTTGTAGTTGGGTCTATGCCATCCCAAATTTCCCACCAACATACTTGTCAGAAAACATTTTGTAGTTGTCATTGATTGAATTTGATTGGATCAAGTGTTGACCCCATGCAGCTGTTAGATACCATTCTGTACTGGCAGCGGGTTAAAAATAATTATAGGTTACGCACTGGCAGCGTCTTCAATTACTGTTCTTATTTGGGAGCACCGGTGGAGGATGTGAATATTTGTCCCGTTGCAAACTACAAATTGTTCTTGGTCAAGTCTGGAGGAGCCACAAAATGCAGACATTTTATGGATGTTTCAACTTCCTCAACATATATATATACATATATATATACAACTACAAAATGCAAATGAGATTTTATGTTGGATGCTTCAACTAACTCAACATATACAACTACAAAATGCAAATGAGGATTTGAAATGAACAACTTCCGAACGATTTCCGAACGCTACAAAATGAATGAAACTACAAAAAGGCTTGGCACACGCCCACTTTTTTATCAAAAAGGACCCCTGGCTGGCAATTTGTACTGTAGCCCAAGTCCTCCCCTTCTGTTGGTGTTATCCCGGATGCTTATGGTAATCCATCCCATGATGGGAATCTAAACATAACGGGTATATAAATTCCTCTGAATCGATTGATGACCAACCCGCCAACTGAGTATAGAATCCAACTCTTGATTATATTATATATTTCCCATCACATCCCATCATATCATATCATATCATATCCTCATGAATATCCCACTAAAGCATTACTAAATCACCATTTTTCATGGTTCAATCCAACGTTTTGAGCCCAGGCACAAAGGCACCACATCGAAGAGCACTTCTCCAACCGTGACGACCTGTGACCCTACCAGTGGGGACCCATGAAATTCTACAGGAAAGTAGCAGTTTGATCACAAAAATCACAAGGAAAGTAGCAGTTTTACCTATAGAATTTCCCTCCAATTCCGGGATCTTAGTCATGTTTAGCGTTTCGAAATTTTGTTTTTGGATTTTTACTATGTATCTTCGTCATTCTTACAAATGTTGACTCTTAACCCTCCCCAGAATTGGAATAATTTTGGGCCATCGGCCATGGCAATTTTGGGCTAAGCATAATCCAGTGACTAAGCATCAACCCCATCTTTAGGCTTAACATTAAAATCATCCTACATAATTATAATGATTTGATGACAAACTCCTCAGTATACCTACCATGAATTTCTGTTGCGGGGATATACAAAAGGAGCCCAAGATGCGATCACCATCAGCAAATCATGTTTGAGCTGGACCCAGTAGTTGAAGATGCAGAAAATGCACAACCAAGTGGAGGCCAATTAGGTCTGTCCAAGAATGGGGCACACCTCCAAAGGGCAATTTTAATAGGGACAATTGTCATTTTAATATAGTTCAATAGGGAATAGTATGATAAGTCAGGAAAATGATGATATGACAAAACCATCAAATTCAGGGTGCCTCTACTGGATGGATCTGGAAGGTACAAGTATGTATCCAGTGAATTGTGGATAAGTTCATAATCCTCAGACTGACGCCATCCTTTACAAACCAATCAACAGGGGTATAACTTGAATGGCTCGCCTGTCAAGCAAAAGAGACAGTCATATTTGTTCGTTTTTGTGTATGTATCCAAAGATGGGCTACCCTTCGGTAATTCAACAATTTGTTATGGAAGCCATGGCCTGTTTAGTTCGAGAATTACATTTTAAATAAAGTGATTTTACAGAGCTGTTGACGATGTTAGATTCTCAGAGGTAGTCCCCAACCATTGTTCTCACTTACTTGGAAATGCAGTTGCAGTCAGAAGTGGATCGATTTCATCATATTTATAAGGGCACCATATCCCAACTTATGAAGGTTCTTTCACCATGGTTGCCGTTTGGTAAACTAACATAACTATGGAAAATCACAATGTTTAACGGGTAAATCAACTATTTCTACAGGCAATTTTCAATAGCTATGTTAAATTACCAAATATCTTTTTTTGGAAACCCAAGCTCAACCGGGCGACATATGCAGTGCTGGTAATGCAACACCTCAGGTCAAGGTCAGCGGTAGTCAAGCAGAGATTGGATCCAGAATCTTAAAAAAAAATGAGCCCACAAAACAGGTACATTGGTTCATAACTAGGATAACTAGATATGAAATTCTGTATGGTATGAATTTCTGTATTATGAAGCTTCTATTACTGTATCTTCTTTTGCAAGTTAGCATGGAGGTTGATGTACCTCCATTGCCAAGACTTGAAGTAGGGTAGCAAATCGCGGCTTTGAGATGACAAACTGTTGGGAATGCAAGTGTTCAATGCAGACCGTGCAGCATCAATGGTGCCTGTCTGACAAATGAGTTTTTTTCACGACAGCGATATAATTACTGTTCGAGTATGTTCGAGTGAATTCCCCCTGGTGGTGGCTCACAGACTCATGTATAATGTTCTGCTGGGTCTTGAGGCTACAAACCCCTGAGCATCTTTGGATCTTTGGGCCTCTCCAAAGTTTATCAAAGTTGATGCCAACGGAGTGGCACTGTTGGGTGCACCAAAACAACATTCATCTAAACGTCACTGTTGAAGGACAAAATCTGTCCCATTATCCTATAGCCACCATTGGTCACATTGGCATCTACAGGGAAACAACCAAGATCCCAAGATCCAAGAGCGTCAAGAGACTGAGAAGTCATGATCAGCGCCACCACTGAAAAACCAGTGCTCCCGAAGCAAAATCTTGCCACATCAGGATAAGACCTTAACAAACAAGTCGTCACAGGGCCACGAGTAATGCCACAAAATGCCACAAATAAAATGAGACTTGAAGGGACAAACATGTACCAAATGTGTGTGTATAATAAATAAATAAATAAATAAATAAATATATATAGATATACATACATATATATATACACAATATATGTATGTGTGCTTTCAAATTCCAACAAAAGGATGTGACCCGTTTGATACGCTGAACTCCTGAACATTGACACCAAGCGTGCTGCACGTTCTACGTTGGGATCTCGGAAGCCTCGAAGCATCCAGTTTTCTGAGGTCAAGATGCACTTTGACCTTGGAGAGTTGGCAAGATCGAAAAACCAGAAGCAATGTATAACCTCAGTGGCTGCGGCTGCGTGTAGTGGCTGGCACTGACAGAGTCAGAGTCTACTGTCAAAAAATGAGTCAGCGTTAGAGTCATCCCATTCTGAGGAAAGCAACGCATTGCAAAAAAAAATGATCCTCGAAAAAATGATCTCCATTACCATCCCAGCCTATAGATCCCCAATCTTCTGCTAGTTACATCACGAATCATGTTCTATCCCTTTGACCTGGAGGCAAAATCCCTAGCGACTCACAGCGACGCTTGGCGCTTAGCGCTTAGCCCATGAGGTGCTCTCACCCACGTCTTTACTTGGAGGACCCGGGGAGTGTTTGCCAAGCTGCGATTCAGAAAGCAGGAGAGAGCATATAGCATCAACGCTGGTAGGAGTCCAATCTGCAATGGCAACGTTGCAGGCGGACACATTCCAAGCCCCTGGAAACAAAATCAAACATCTTGTTCTTGTGGATCAGCACCCCGAAACACATACATTGGGGGTTTCTTAAGTTATGGGGGATCCCCAAGTCACCATAGGTTTCAACGCTAAGTCATGGGCATCCATGACTTGGATGATGACTGGGGGTACGCACCCGATGACGAAGGATATCCTGATATCCTATCTATGCAAAAGCACCTGCCTGGTGATGAGGAAAGCCAGCAATATCTCAAGGTTTCAGCTTGGGGTTCAGCATTGAGAGATGAGAACCATTCTTGAAATTCCTCAGCTTCACACTGGTGACAGGGAAAATACCCTCTGGTAATTTAACATAGCTATTGAACATGGCCCATTTATAGTTGATTTTCCCATTAAAAATGGTGATTTTCCATAGTTATGTTAGTTTACCAGAGGGTAACTCTTCGGATCATCCAGATATATCCGGATCCCTGCAGTAGTCAGCTGCCCTTCTTGCGCCTTGCTACAGACCCAGCTCACTGCCAAGAGGGAAACGCCTAAGGCGTTGTTCAGCATGTTGAAAATCCTCGAGCCACGGAGGTTTTTTGCAGTCCCGGGTGCTTGGTGCTGCATGGTGCTACCATGTTGTTGTTGTTGTTGTTGTTGTTGTTGTTGTTGTTGTTGTTTTTTTGTTTCTATAATATAAAAGCATGATATTCATAGATCTGTAGCTGATGGTTGAGCCACCCCAACCAATCCAAGAGATTCCAAGACTATAAGTCAGTTTGGAGAATTGTTTCTCCACAGGAAAGAGTAAAGAGGGTGGATTTGATATGATTTGATATCTATTTGAAACCACCTGCCAGTATAGGACTATTTGTGTAAGGGAATAACGCCCTGAACCGCAAACGGAATCCCTGAGACCTTAAAGTACCATTATTGGCAGAGCCAAAGTAACTCACCAATTGCCCTACAAGATGAACCATTTTGAGCACGATCCATTTTTTTTGAAAATCTATGGCAGAAAAAACTGATTTTGAATGAACAAATGACATCCTCACAAATAACCCAAGTGTCAAGTTTGTCGGAAGGAATGTTTCTGGGAAGCAGGAATTACCCCGCCACCAACCTCCAGTCGGGTCCAACATGTCAAAATCTCCGTTGATTTTCTCTGTTAAATTGTCGCATACACAGTTAAACATCACCTTAAAAGGCTCAAGTCTCGGAAATCCATGTGGGGATGGGTCAAAACCCTGGTACCTAGTGAACCCCAAAATAGCTGGTAAATGGATGTTCATCCCCCTAAAAATGGTATCTATAGTCTATAGGTATTGACCCATACCCATGTCGATTGTTGCTGGCAAACACATCCCGGTTAGTTGGTCGTATCCCTGTGTCACTTTGCTGAAGCCACAATTTTGTTGGCAGTATCTCCGTCTTTGTCACATCTGCATCCTTTGTTCGTTCGATCCCCTGTTCAAACACCCGGCCCCAGATGCTTGTCAAACATGGTACCCTCTGGTAATTTAACGTAGCTATTGAAAATGGCCATTAATAGTGGATTTTCCCATTAAAAATGGTGATTTTCCATGGTTATGTTAGTTTACCAGAGGGTAAAAGAACGGCCAGGCTTCGCTTCACTGTTGCTCTGAAGGGCCGCACGATGACTTTCTTCCATCCTGTCAGCAAAACAGATGAAGACCCCTCGAAGTGGCCACTTCTGTTCCAAGCACCTTTTTATCCTCCGGTTATTTAACATAGCTACGTATGGAAAACATTGGAAAACGGCCCATTTATATATGACTTACTATGACTTGCAATTTAAACACTGTGATTTTCTATAGCTACGTTAAATTACCAAAGGGTAATCAGTGTCTCTGGCTTGCTTCCCTGTATTTGATCCCTCTGCAAACCAACTCTGGATCGGAAGGGCATTCACTGTGCATCAAATGTAGGTGAGCAGGTTGACATCCATGTCATCGTCTCAAACTCGCCAGGAGGAGAGACAGGAAAGTTACAGGACAATGAATTGCCTGGACGGTTGCAAACCACTTGAACAATTTTGATTGCTCACGATGCATCTCTTTTGAAGGGATGAGTGAGCTGTTTTGACCACTACACGAGGCTCAACTTCAGGTTCACCAGAAACATATTTCGGTATGCAAGCAGGACCAAACAGCCAGTGATTCTAGATCCAGATTGCAGGCTCTACAGTTTGCAGGTTCTGTTGGTTTAAACAATCAATGTTTTCCTTTGAGTTGAAAATGGACAGTGAACATCAAACTAGCTCGTCAATGGAGGATAAAATCCACCCTAAAACTCACGCGGACAATCACAGGTGGCTTGAGCCTTTAGTTCAACCCGTGTTGTTTTAGTCTTGCGGTTTGGGAAACATGCACAGAGTACCACTGCACCCCCACTAAGGTCTTTTTAAAGTTTTCACAGTCGTTGAGACGTCCTCCGACTGTTGCAACTATGGCTCAAGCCATTCAATTGGCTCAAGGGCCAATCAACTGACTGGCTCAATTTACCGAGCCCAACTTGGAGTGAAAAGGTGCACTTGCATCTGCCTCTTGGTGGGGACCTCCGGGAAGGGTCTCGGTCATAGTCTGAAACCCGTGGGTTATGAGCCCAACCCCAACGCTGCCTTGAAGCAATGTCGAGCAGCGACTTCACTCAGCGTCGTCGACAAGAACGCCAAGTTCAAGCGGCTGCTCATGCTGAAGAAGTACAACATGGGACCCATGGACATGGAAAAGAAGAACGCGCGGAAACGGCAGACCAAATGCTGGACCGGCTTCTGGAGGAGATGGACGCACCTGGACAAGCACATGGGGAAAGAACAGGGACAAGATCATCAGACTCAACCCGAAGATCACTGATGGAAGGGGAAGTTGGAGAAAGTGTGATGGCACTGACCGGTGCTGGGGGAAGTGGAGCCCTAGTGCAGGTTGCGGCGGTCCGGGCTGGAGCGGGCGAACGAATCGCCCAGAATCCGGCTGTTGCGGAAGAAGTCGCAAGACCAGTGTCCTTACCACCTGAAGAACCTCCTGGACTTGAAGTGGTACGAGGAAATGGGAGTGGCGGTCTGTTGTCTGGTTTGACCCCAGGTGTGAATAGTCTAACTCTTTCGGGAGTGCCTATGACACAAACACCAGTAGTTGCCCGGATGTCTGAGGGATTTCGTGAACCACCTGTTGTGGGTAATCGAGAAGAAGGACAGGGTGGAAAACACCAAAGCTCAACTGAAGTGAGTGGAGGTGCGGCTGCTGTTGTGGAAACCGTTGCTCTTTTGGAGCGACCGGGACGTTCACCTGTTGAGTCTCCTGAAGATGCACGCGTCAAACAATCGGTGCCAGCGGCACCAACAGGCTCACCTGTGATCTACCAGCCAGCGGGAGCACCTGTGGTGTATACCGCAACTGGTGGAACACAGGGTTCGCAAGTAGCTGGGATGTCCCAGCAATCCATGTGTGCTGGAGTGCCACCTACGGGAATGGTGCCTCAGTGGGGAACGGCGGTTGTGGATCCTGGGATTGTAACCGGGGTCATGGCTGCAGAGGAAACGAATCCATGGAGTGCTGCCAAGCGAGTGGAAGCTCTAATGAGCAGTCCACAAACTCCAGTGAAAGAGCTGACTTATCCCATAGTGTCGCAAGACCTGATTGATCAGGCGGACGCGAGGGAGAAGGAAAAGTATGAGGAGTTGAAACAGCAAATGATGGAATTCTTTCAACGGGGCAAGACCGAGATCCAACAAGATCGAGAAAATTGGTTAGCCACGCGGGAAGAGAAACGTGCCCTGGAACGGGTCCGAGAAGCCGGAGGAGGTCACAAGGGCTCTCAGTCAAGTGGGGGGTCTTATCAAACCGCCTCGCCGGAGCTGAAGAATGTCGAGCAGGGTTTTCCTGTGGGGCCACCTCAAGGTGTTCCACCCCAGGTACAACATGTGCAAGATCAACCAGTTCCAGGAGTTCAACATCACCATGATCAAGATCTTCAAATGCAGGCGGGAGGTCAGTTGTGGAATGTTCCTCCTGCGCCCAAGGTCGAACAAGGTTTTCGGCCGATGGATGTGTATATGAATCAAGGGTGGCTAATTGGAATACCACCGGGAGGTATGCCGCAGAGAGCGGCGTCAAGACCACCGATGGGAGTTCCTTGCATGGGAGCCACGGAAAACACAAAACACTTTTTCATCGGTGACCAACCTAATCAATGGTATAATCCTCAAGTCCATGTTGGAGGAGCACCTGCAGGACAAGATCATCGACCTCAAGGGGTTTTTGCATTTCCGGGAGGAAACACCGGACCTATGGGTGGTTATGGTTGGCCAGGGGGTCCACCGCCAGGGCAGTATGGAAATCCCGGACAAGCACCTGGTCCGCCAGGTGGTCATCAGGGAAATCCCGGTCTCCCAGGTGGTCATCAAGGAAATCCAGGACAAGCTGCACCGCCACAACAACAACAAGCTGTAGTCCAAGCAGGACCTCAGGCAGGGGGAGAAGTACCAGGCGAAACGCTAAGATCGGTCGAATTGCCGAAGCTGGACAGGAATGCAACATCTTTGGACTTTGGAGACTGGCTGACAGTTGCCCAACAGATGATTGGGGATGTGAGCTACACCTCAGAGCAATGGTGGGAAGTAGTGATGACTGCTGTTGAACAAGCATACCACCACTGGTTGCAAGCGGATCCACTCATGAGGCTCCGGATGGCGCCTGTGATACCTGACATGGCCCGTAGGTGGCCTCGCACAGAGAAACGGGTGGTGGGTATGCTGCTTCAAGCCGTCCCCAAGGACATCTACGAGGACCTTGTGGCGAACAGACACATGTCAGCGGGTCAAGTCATGTTCAAGCTGTACACCGTCTTCCAACCTGGGGGACAAGTGGAAAGAACTGCCCTGCTGCAAATGTTGGTGGACTGGAAATGTCCATCTAATAATGCTGCAGAGATGGTCAACTCCATCCGGAAGTGGAGAAGATGGGTGGTTCGTGCCGAAGAACTTCAATTGGTTTTGCCCGATCCTCTGGTTTTGGCCGGAGTGGTCGCAAAAATGAGTGATGCCTTGGCCAGATTGGGGGGAGCTCAAGCTGCCTACCGGTTGTCTTCGGTGAGACAGCATTTGGGCATAGATCTCCGGCCGGGAATGCAAGAGATCAGAACGTTTTCTGAACTTCTTCAAGCTGAAGCTGGTGAAATGGCTCTCCGTCAACCGGGGAACATAACACAGGGCCCAGCGGCTAAACCCAATAATGTGGTAGGGGTGAAGTCAATGAGTGGGCCGGATTCATCTGGAAACCCACCAAAGGGCGCTTCAAAGGGAAAACCAGAAGACGCAGCAGGTTCTTCCACCGGAAGGAGGGGAGAAAAGCCCGAGCTGCCGATTAACGCGGCTAATGTGGTCCACAAGACTGCGTGCATCAACTGGCTGACAGATAAGGGATGCCAATATGCTGACCGGTGCCGATTCACGCACACTGTCCTGGACTCCAAAGATGGCCGATGTTTCAACTGTTCTGGAAGGGGACACTCCCGACGTGATTGTCCGGCGGGAAAACGAAGTGAGTCACGAGGTCCACAAGGTGGATCCGAGGAACCAAAGGTGGCCAAAACCACAAGAATCCGCTCAAGATCTCAAGAGAGGAAAAATGGTCCTGGAAAAGAGGGAGGTGCTGCTCAAGAACATTCTGAACCTACCGTGAAGATCAATCCGATGAAGGAGTCCACGGTCACTATAACCCCTGTACCAGAGGAGGCCAACAAGGTTGTGGGAGAAGTGACCAACCTTTTGAAGGGTCTCAATGGACCGGTCTTGAAATCGGTGGGGCATGGTGGGGATCATCTCGAAGTTGAATTTGATGATGGAACAGGTTTATTGGATGGTGGGGCGACACACCCCTTGAGACAGGGATCAACCGAGGAGATCAAGAACGCGGTGCAGGTCACTGTGGAACTCGCACATGGAGCTGCTCAGCTCTATCAAAATCCTGTGAATGGAACCCTCTTGTCGGAGGGACCGGTGGAACCAATTGTACCTCTTCGAGGTTTGGTGGAATTGGGATACACCATCACTTGGTCCCGTGCAGGATGTGTTGTGAAACATCCACGACTGGGAAACATAGAATGTTGGTTAAGGTCTGGGTGTCCAGTGGTTCGAAAGGACCACGCTCTGGCTCTGATCACTGAGATTGAGCACATGGAAATGGAAAAGAGGACCAACCATCGGCTCACCTTGGAAGAGCCCACGGAGAAGACCAAGAAGTGGTGGGGATCACGATTTCCGGAAACACCGGACAGAATTTGGAATTACATGCGGGGTCAAGATGAAGAAGATCCGCAAATGAACCATGATTTACCATGGAACCGGCACAAAAGAAGGAGGCTGCTCACCTCAAAAGGGGTTATAGTCCACCTTTTTGCTGGAGAAAGGGCGAAGGAATGGCGAAAGAATCCCATCAATGGGATTGAAGTCATCACTTTGGATATCAATGAAGGTCGAAATCAAGATATACACAATCCGGGAACATGGAGTTTCCTTTGGAAACTTGCAAGCCTGGGAAAACTTCTTGCTATCATCGGGGGACCTCCCTGTCGGACGGTCAGCCGATTGAGGCAGAAACAACCGGGACCAAGACCATTGCGTGGACGTTTCCATGACCGGTATGGTCTACCA